GTGAGTAGTGTGACTCAGGTGACCGGTGAATGACTGTATGTATAATTTCGTCCGCGGACATCATCTTCTATGCCAGAGTCATCCTGATCACTGAGGACACGAAGCTTCATACCACGCTCTAAAGAAGACTTGGGAGAATTAGGATTAAGTACGCTCAACCACGATCCTTCCTACACTTCTACTTGCACTTGCGCCAACAGAGAGAGCTGTAAATTTCATACGGCCAATGCAGAGAATTTGAGGCCAAAGTTACTTATCTGCCAACATTAGTCGCTGACGGAACACAAACAATTCTTGACATAAATAAATTCTGAATGAAGCCAACAAAGTTCTGGAGAGGTACATTGGAAGGATTTAGTTTTGTTGTCTGTAGGCGAAGTGCGAGTCCCTGGCACTGATGCACCAACGTTTCACCAAAGCATCGTTCCGAGATGACCAAAGCATCTTTCCGAGATGCAAATCTCTTGATCCGGTCATGAGACCAACGGTAACGTCCGTTGTTCTTATTCAAATTCCTGATACTGTCACCGAGGTGGTTCTAATTGACGTATGAAGCCATTCCCTTTCGCTCTGGTCCGGTGACAGGCCTGTGGAGAGTTCCCCGCCACACTAGGTGCTGCACAATGCGGCGGTTTTTCGCTGCACTTTTGAATTTAGAAAATTTCTGGTTGTCCGAGATGACAGAAGCGGTAAGTTCCGCGTACTGGTTGCCCGGCGTCTACGTATAGACGCCAAAACGATTCTGAATACTGCCAAAAAAGGTCCAGGTGCACAGTTCCCATGGAATCTTGCGTTGAGGAGCAACATAAATAGAATCTGCGAGTCCGATATCTATAAAGCAAAGAGAACACCCAGCAGTAAGCCCCCAGCCTCCCCATGCACGCAAACACTTACTGCTCTCCTTTAGTACTACCTCAGTTCTATTCCCCGCCGTTTCAAAGGATGCCATCCGCTGATTTCGATACTTTTAGGACTGGAGAAATGGAACCAGTGTTGGCGTCCCCACGATATCAACAGCTTCATGCAATACATACGCCGTTCCATTTCATACCAGACCAGCTACAAGGTACGGAGTCGCTCTAGAATGCCGTCGCGGTGGCTGTAGCCTTACCATTACCAGTCCCAGAATTTGGAGAGGGCGACATGATCAACCCTACTGGCTATCAGCCACCCATGTCGCAAACTTACCCGACCATCTCCGGAGTTGGTGCAACGGGGTCACTCCCCTGTCTGGTGGTCGCGTCGCCAGCACAGGTTTCTGCAGCAAATAGACGCAGAACCAGACCTACACCAGGGCAATTTGTGTGCGTCCTTTGCCCACAAGATTTTACCACCAAGCACAATCTACAGAGTTAGCACTCTTTTTTCTTTTTTTCCCCACAACATCGGGTCTAATTGAACTTTGAATCAGATCATATCAACTCTCACCTGAAGAAAAAAGACCACAAATGCAGTAGCTGCGGGAAAAGCTTCACAACGAGGTCTTCTTTGAATCACCATTCCAAAAAGTGTCGAGCGAATACTGAGGCTCTGGCTGCGTAGAAACATTCATGCCCTAGGCCTGTAAAAATCTCACACCTTGCACGTCTGTTATTGTATATAGATTTTCTTTTCTGGCACAACACCAGTTTCCTGTAGACATCTTCATCATCTTCATCAGGAAAACTACACGTCCACTTATGTCACTTAGGTCACTTTGACAAGTGGCCAAGTGACGAAAGTGAACTCAAGTGGCCAAAGGAAACTCACTTGGCTAAGTAGGTTGCTGCCTTGGCCAAGTGATTCCTCTTGATGCAAGTGAAGACTCAAGTGGGTAAGTCATATGTCAAGTTGATCTCAAAAGTGACCAAGTGACGAAATAGCAGTCTCAAACTGTTCCCGATTTCACACAGAATGGTATATTTAGTAAGGTAAAAGAGTATATTAAATGGTACCAATGTCTACCTACAATGTAGCAGCTCAAGGAACCTCTGAAATGCGTAGAAAGCCAAACATCCTGCAACCCAACATCCCACCCTTCAGGCTCGCTCATGGAGAAACCAAAACGACCTGTTTCGCTCGTTCACGGTGCCAATGCCTATCCCCTCGATGCGCGAATTGTCTTCGTGACAATTTGTTGATAGAATCGATGTGCTGGCGCCCCAGTTGTCCTCCGAGAATTTTGCTTCTTCCTTACGATCCGGAATGCCGGCAGTAGAGACCCCCGTGATCCAGAACTTGAACGCGCGCTCAGCCTGCACGAAAATAAGATCACGCAGAAGGGAAGGGAAGAGGAGACATACCCAAATGTCGAATATATAGGCACGGCGAAAATGGCGATGGGAGTGCCGCCACCTCCATCTAGTGCGAATGAGCTCGGAATTTGGGCACGGTGAAGACGGCAGTGGGAGTCTCCATATGAGCATGGCGGAAGATGGTGTAGATGTAGTCGAGGTACCTGGGTAGGGTAAAGTCATGAGGAGGGGACAGGTGGGGGAGAAGGGAACAAACCAGATTGTTTTTGGCTTGGTGGGGATCTCCATATGAGCGTGGCGGAAGGCGGTGTAGACGTAGTCGAGGAGGTGGTACCTGGGTAGGGTGAAGTTGTGAAAAGGGGACAGGCGGGGAGGGGAGAAGGGAACAGACCAGATGTCCAAGGTGTTCTTTCCATCGTATTCTCTGCTGTATCCCAACATCAACTTCCTCCCCTCTAGAAGTACAAGAAAACCATCCTGCACTCGCGAAGGTCAAGCGTGTGATGGCTCAGGTTCGTCATCGTGTTCTGTGAGACCGTTAATATGTTTTGCATTTGTCTGTAAGATAGGATATGCATGTTAGCTTGCCCTATCGAAATACAAAGCGAAGAGGAGATAAAGGGAGGAAAGACATACCCAAAACGTCCTGCTGGACAGCGGACTCAGTCCTGCACCAGCAAATGTCGAGCGCGTGATGACTACGGTTCGTTTTCCATGTCGGCGAGCGAGCAGGCACAAACTGCAGTGGGATTTGGCCAAGATTTGGCGAGGGCAGGTTGGACACCGCTCAGTTATGATGAACGTTGAAAAGAAAAACCGATGGTGAAATTTTTAACATCGTCACATGTCGTCGGACTTCGAATGGACTTAAGAATAATTCCTAAGTAGCGTGTTTGAGCATCCCGATGGCTTTTGTGAGTGCTGGGCACTTAAGTACTTATGACTTACTGACGTGAGTGGCTTGAATTGGGCTTGAATCCCCACTTGGACTCACTTCGGGTTTGAAAGGAAGTTGTGGCTGTAACATCAAGTGCCGAAGTGATTCAAGTGAGATCACAAGCGATGTAAGCCCAACAAGTGAAGTGTAGTTTTCCTGATGTTACGAGGCTTTAAAGAGTCAATCAAGAATGTACTTAGCTTCTTCCTGGCCGTCTAACTGTCGTCACCTGTCGAATACATTTTGCTAGCGAGCCATTCGTGGATTCTGCTGTCCCTCTGGATTGCGAAAGCGGATCCGTTGAGGTGAAGGGACACTGAGATCAATTCAAGAGCATGTTTGTGGTTATTAATGTTTGCAATGTTTGGTTCCCAACTTCTGAAAATAACAAGAAAATAACAGCGTTGACTTGACTTCGACACTGACCCAAAAACCGCGCTTACTAGTAGCTGTCGAATCGATGCACGAGGTGAGGGGATTGTCGAAATATCTACCCGAAATAACGTTGACGTCTGTAACTCTCAAACTGAACAGAGCGAAGCGTGTGCATCAGTAATTGAGCAAATCAGTTTCGACGGGTTTCTCAACCCTGGCAACCTCCGAAAACCACTCTCTACCTTTTCTCCATTTTCTTTCCCTTTAAATTTCATTGTCATCAATAACTCTCCCAGCCCTACTCAAAATTTCATTTTTTCGCCCATCTACCCGGCGCTTCCGACCCACGCCGGCCACCACACCTCAGGCGTTTGCGATGCATCCCATTTTTGCGAAACGCATCTCCTCATGTTTCGCATGATCCTTTGCACCATACAACTGGAGGTTCCTCCCACAGAACATGGCCACAAAGTGGAAACCATCGGTGGATTTATTGCTGTAGGCTTCGTTGTCGATTGAATATAAGGGAGGATGGGAGGATGGCGTGGAGTGAGAAGGTGTATGAATATGTTGAAATTGAGAGGTTGCTCGGGACAATGTTAAAGCAGGCTGGGTAGGTTCTTTAAGGTCCTGAGATACCAAATTGATATTTTTTTTCCTAGATCGCATATATAACCTCCGCATGTCAATCATCCTAACGGTTCTAGCGTTAAGTATCCTCCGCAGTCGATTCCACTGTCTCACTCCCCGACCAAACACCTTCCTCTCAAGGAGAGGCGTCCTCCCATATTGGCATCGCCACCATCGATAACCAATGAAACTATCAATTATTTCTACACCATGTCGGCGTACGTTTTTCTCACCTATACAGTGTCTTTCTGACATTCGAAACCGCAGATAGGAATGTGCTCAAATATCCCATTCGTTCCAGGACTTCCTCTCCTCCACTTTCATGTCCGACTCCCACGTTCGCGTTTTCTTACCAGCTTCTACATAGCGCCACGCACGGTACTCCACCGCCATCATGAGATCTTCACGTGAAGTTGATGCCAGAACTACTTTGTGAAGAGGAACAAGGAGGTTCCGAGGTAATACTTGAAATGGAGAGAGCAGGTGAGCGGATATGTTGTTGAGGTTGAGCAGGGAATGACGAGTACGATTCGTGGGTTCGTGAGATGGTCGAACTGATTCAACTCATCAGTTTAGGATCAACGCAGCTGCCGCACTTCCAACAACGCCGCCATTGGCGACTCGTCATTGCCCGCGTCAGGGGGTTTCAACACGGAAGTTACCCGGACCTTGACATAGAGCGAGTAAGTCATCCATTGTCACGTCGTTTCCACAAACTAATCTTGCCCTGTGTCTTCTGCAGATTCTATCTCTCGCGGTACGCAACACCATGTACCAATCTTGACAAGTATCCGCGAACGACCAGAACGCAGGAAAATGTGGCCAAGACATACATTGTATATTGATCCGCGGTGTAACTTTACACGTGTAGATCCTATACCTGACTTACGCTTTTTTCATGTCAACTTCGACAGCGACCCCCGACGTGGCTCTTATCTCGTGAACAACCGGAACAACAAGCGCACAGGAATTTGGATGGCAGAGATGGGGACGGGGAATGGCAGGAAATAAGACGGAACCCATGACATGACGAGCCAGAAGAGTGTTCTCAGCAACTCTCCCAGTTTTCCACTAAATTTGTTTGTCTTAGGCCCAAGTTAAATGCTCAGACATCAGCATTCTCTCAGTAAATGGGATTCTGTTTCGAGGGAAGACGAAATGGAAACGGCGCGAGGTAGGTCCCCCGGTTTTTACCAACTGTCGTTGTCTTACGCTGCAATTAAACGCACAGATGTTAAGCCAATGGTTCGGTTTGGTTTTCCGGCGTTTTTACTGGGAGCTTGAGGATCAGTCAGGTAGAGACACTTGCACAATGTCCCAAGTGAGTTTTACCGGCGCCAGAGGTTCGACAAGACTCTCCATTTATATCTCGACTGAGATTGATTCTGCTAGAAGCACCCTGTCCGTCGTCCTTACTGTATCCGGCGTTCTTACTGTATCCGGCGTTAGCTCTGTTGTCCAAGGGACACGAGGGAAGGTGAGTGTATTTTGATTTGGACATAGCTTGATGACGTATCGATGCTCTATCCATGGCTGCGTCTCCGATAAGACGGCCATGAACATAGGTATGGTTACTGGTGTGAGAGAGAAGATGGGGAAAGTAAGATGTGGTCGGGAATTACCCTGCCGATACCGGGTTCTCTTCAGTCACAACAGGACGTACCGATGGATCTAGACCTCAAACATGGGTGTGACAATCGATGGGAATGAAAGCGATACGATGCTTGATAAACCCGGGTATCGAAGGTCTCGCTGTGTGAGAGGGGGTTTTTTCGGCCCAGCGTTGCTTTCGGTATCTTGAATTTACAGCTTGACAGCCGTTGCCACGATCCTGATCGATCCCTTATAGGCTAGTGGGCTGCCTGTGCGATGTTTGATAAATCTATAAGGAGGGTATCGAAGGTCTTGCTGTGTTTCTGGAGCGTTGTGAGTGGGAGTCTTTTCGGCCCAGTGTTGCTTTTGGTATTTTAAATTTATAGCTGACAGCCCTTGCCACGATCCTGATCGATCCCTTATAGGCTAGTGGGCTGCCTGTGCGATATTTGATAAATCTATAAGGAGGGTATCGAAGGTCTCGCTGTGTTTCTGGAGCGTTGTGAGTGGGAGTTATTTTCGGCCCAGCGTTGCTTTTGGTATTTTAAATTTATAGCTTGACAGCCTTTGTCACGATCCTGATCAATCTGTTATAGGCTAGTGGACTGCCTGCAGCCCACTGTCGGCTGACCGTTACAAACCGAGGACGCAAGTGAGCTTAATTATAACATACTTGTTTTCGATCTTCTCTCATATTTTGCAACTCTGCACCCATACGGCTTGCTGTTCCTTTACTACATCTCGCATCGTTCCCCAACGCCAATGTCGACCCGTTGCAGCCTCGTGTTCGTGCGAGTCGGGACAGGGGCAATTTCTTCTTACTCGTGTTTTACCCTGAGTTTAGAATTCCCGCTCCAAAAATTTTCCTGCTCCAGACTGCTCGGGACGGTAATTGGTGGAGGACCGGAGGGCAATATGGCCCTGCTTTCAACAACTTTACGTACGCCATCATATATTTCACCCCATTGCACCATTTCTTAGGGCTGCGTTCTCTAACTAAAATGCAAACCTTGCATTGGTGGCGCGACCAGAATTAGAATGTATGTCCTCAAGTGGCACTTAACTGCCCCTCAGGAATATTTTTCCACAAAGGCTATTGACACACCAAGACACGTCAGATAATGACATATTCCAAGGCCTAAACGTAGCGCCCTATCAACTAGTACATTCAGAACGGTGGAACGAATGTAGACATCTGTCACAAAAGTCCAAATGTGGCCAAGAAAATGTACCAGAAAGTTATCATTCAAGCAACCTTACAATGGCCTGATGGCCAGGGCAGTACATGTTCAGTCCTTGAAATCCAGTAATGCGTAGAAGGATTGCTTGGCATCTAACTTCTATCAATGTGCACACTGCCATAAGAAATTGCAAGCCATATCGAATGTAACTAATGCTGCTTCAACCACATAAACAATCCAGGGTCAATGCTTGAATTCCCGATATAAGGCAAGAACCCCCAGCAGTATCAGTAAGCCCCAAGCATCACCATGCAACCGGACACTTACTGCAACTTGTGCCTCTCCCCTCTGACATTATGCCCCTACCATTCCCAGCTTTCCCAAAAATTGCCATCTGTTGAATTCGCCACTTCCGAGATTGGAACCATGGAACGACCAGTGGTAGCGTCGCCACAATATCAGCATCTTCTTGCAATCCATACTCCGTTCAATTTCATGCAGGACCTGCCATCAGGTACGCACTCGCTCTACAACACCGTGATTGAAGCCTTACCATTACTTAGCTGTGCCAGAATTTGGACAGGGCGACATGATCAACCCTATAGGACTCCAAGGTAACTGGCAGCCACTGCTTCCAACTGACGCGACCGTCTCCGGCGTTGGGGCAGGGGGACCACCCCCCCAGCCAGTAGCCTCGTCGCCAGCACAGGTTTTTGCAGCAAATAGACGCAGAACCAGACCTACACCTGGGCGATTTGTGTGCGTCTTTTGCCCACAAGATTTTACCGCCAAGCACAATCTACGGAGTTAGCACTCTTTTCTTACTCTTTTTTTTTTTTTTTTTTTTTTTTTTTCACGACCTTGAATCTAATTTCACTCTGAATCAGATCATATCAACTCTCACTTGAAGAAAAAAGATCACAAATGCGGTAGTTGCGGGAAAAGCTTCGCGACGAGGTCCTCTTTGATTCGCCATTCTAAAAAGTGTCGAGCGAATACTGGGGCTCTAGTTGCGTTAGAAATTTGATACCGCCTGTAGAAATCGCTCGCCTTGTAATTCTGTAAAAGCGGCGTCTGACGTGAAGAGATAAGATCAAGATAAGATTATGTAAGTATATGTGCAATGTTTGGTCCCTGTCTTCTGAATCGCGTCGTCATGGATTTGTACAAGACTTGTGTACCGATCCCAAAGGCGCGGATAACTGTCGAATGAACGCACAAGGTGAGGGGATCGTTGAAATATCACCAGAAACCTTGTTGACGCCTGTAACGCTCAAATGCGTCTCCTGATAAGCACGAGGAGAATGGTTACTACTACTCACCGAACTCATTGTTGTTTGTGAAAAGCCTTTCCAAACACATCTCCAGCTGTGACGCGCGTATCCAGTGTCCACCAACCTCCTTAGGCTCATCGTCCGCCTAAGCATAACCTATCTCCTCTCCCGCTCCTCTAAAATCTCATCGCCATCAATAACTCTCCAATCCCTCCTTTGAAGCTTCGTTTTGCCCGCCCATTTACCTAGCGTGACGCTTCCGAAGACCACACTGAAACCCCTCTCTTCATGTTCCGCATAATCCTTCGCACCATACAACTGGATGGTTCCTCTCATAAAACACGGTCCGAAGCGGAAAAGATCGGTGGATTTGATGCTGTAGGTTGCGTTGTCGAATATGAAAGGATAGCGTGAAGTGAGAAGATGGATGAGGATGTTCTTGAAATTGAGACGTTGGTCGGGATGATGATGTTGGAGGATGCTAACGGGGAGAGGCCATTGACGCTGTTGACATGTTGCATCGGCCGTTGGTTTGGTATCTGAGGGGTAGGTTCTTTAGGTTCCTGTGATACTAAACTAACATTTTTCGCTCAGATTGCGGCCGTTTGGACACACATAGACCTTCGTGTTATTATCATCCCCACAGTTCCAGCGTTATTCTCTAACGTTGTTTCCAGTGTCTCGCTCCCTGACCCATCACCTTCCTCTCACGGGGCAAGCCCGAAGGCGTCCTCCCATATTGAGATCACCCCCATCGATCAACAATTAAACGAGATCTCTACCGTATGTTTTTCTCGCCATATATTGTATCTCACACTTGAAAGCTTGACACCACAGATAAGGTTGTACTTAAACATCCCATTCGTCCACGACCTCCATCTCCTCTGCTTTCATGTCCGACTCGCACGTTTGCGTTCTCTTACCACCTCTTACCAGTTACCTTCTACATAGCGCCGCGCGTCTCAGGCATAATCCCCTTTTCTTGAACGAGTTATGTTGCGTTCGTCAACACAAACCCCTTCCCCATCGGTATACTACAAACGAGATGCCAGGCCCCTTGCAATTCTAACTTTCCCCGCATCGTCAGACAAAACTCTGTTATCTTTCTAGATCGCTCCACTCGTCCTCGTAGACCTTATCCCATCCTCTCTCGCCCCGCAAAGGCATATAACTTTGTGTTTAGAGATCCATCCCCCACTTTAGCTGGTCCAACTCCTCACGAGCTCACTTTGCTTGCCGAACATCGTATCCTCCATTCCGAGGACGCTACTTCCACTCCTCCTTCTCGCGATACTCCTTTCCTCCTTCTCTTGGCCATTCCAGATGCGCGCCCAAGTGATCCCTTCTCAACTCCGCCTTTCCCAACGACGTCGATAATTGAGCTGCCCCGCATCTTGGCATTGCCTCACGAGACGCGGACGTTACCCAAACCTTGTGTCGCGAAGTTTATGGGAAGAGGGAAAAAATATTGGGATTTGTTCGGGCAGGTGTTCTCAATGCCCAAGAGAAGAAGGGCGTTGTCAAAACCTCAGGTAAATGGTCACTGTCAAGCCCTTGCAGAGGATAGAGACCTCCTGAATGGTAAAAGAGTGCGACGGGAGAGAGATGAGGTGACCCACTTTTGCGTGGGATCGTTTTTACAACTGACTGATTTTTAGGACGGGTGCTGAGAAGAGTTTGGCCAATGACACTGGCATGATTGATCCATTGAAGTGTTTTAGTTAAGCGGTGATATGTGGGGTCATGAGGATTGACGCAGTAAAGAAGTCATAAACCCTTTCGCCATTCCTTTCGCCATCATTGTCTGGGGCAGAAGAAGGGAGGGGAGGAGGGCATGTTACATCCTGGATGGTGCCATATGCTTCTTGGTGTCGGACCTGCAGCCACATCAAATCGGTGAAAACAACCGGCAGTGGAAAGAGCCCTCCCTGGCTTTGTTGGCATATTCAGCACCGATGGGGAATAGTAACGTCCATGCCAGCAACTTCACAACATTGTTATTTCCATCCATCGTTCCTGCGCTAACGGCATTCAGAGGGCATGATGTTGGTGACACTGCACAGGCCTGCACCACAACCCGGCGGCCACTCCCTTGGGATGGGAACGAGACTAGCGCTGCACTCCACTGGACACTTCATGTTTATTAATCCTCCTTATCACCGTCGAGGAACAGGTTGCATGACGTCGGTGTGTGATTTGCTGTACAATCTGGACATTAGCGCTACTAATGGTCAAGCCTCAATAATGATCGTGAACGATGGTCAGAACTACTAGCCTTAAGAAGCGCGGTGTGGAATATTCGGTCGACTCTGATGGTCCACTTCACTGTGGCATTTCTTACTGCCCTCGTGTCGTCACACGAAAAAGCTCCCTATCCGATCCTTCAGCGCTTTCGTACATTGATCTTGATCGACCCCTTAGCAAATGCCCCGCATTTGAGGTTCAAAAGTACGCTGGGTGGCACGCTGCCCCCTAAGGATTGTTTGCAGACAATGCCACGGTGCCCGATCGCCGAGCGCTAAATCCACGCGAGGGAGGGAATAAGGTTTTTGGTTTGGCCAATTTGGCGCCAGCTCGGCGCGATGGACATGGGCTCAGCGCTTTGAAAGAAACTTCGAAAGAAACTTTGGAAGAAATTTTGGAAGAAATTTTCGGGTCGACTCACAGCCTCTCCAGATCCCTATGAGTATGATTTTGACAACGCTGTCAATCACCTCGGAAGGGCGGGACCATTATCACCCAAGGGTGTGCAGTGGCAAGTCACTGCCAATCTTTTTCAAACCTATAAAGCAAGGAACTCCCAAGTTACATGAACCCAGTGTCCACATGGACTCAGAAACATTCTGCGAATCATGCTTCTTTTCTTCAGCACTATGCTCATGCAGCTATTTTCTGTCTTCCCAACTGCCAGGTACGCAGTAACTGTACTGGTCTTGTTAATGGACTGAACATCGCCTTCCAGGCTTCTCGGAGGGCGATATCATCACCACTGCTGATGGGGCGGAAAGGCAGCAATGGATATCGCATAATGGGTCCATTCTTCACAATGTTGGACCTGTGGTGCCACCTCGATCAGTTTTACCAGGTTTGCAGTTTCTCTACAACGCCTTGTCCGTACCACCCTTATCATATTCTTGCATGCCTACATCATATTGATACCGCCCATGAAATTCTGGGTCCCTGAAGCTGGTACCGAACTGCCACCCCGTGCATTGGTGGCGTCTCCAGAACAAGTAGCCGCCGCAAACAGACGCAGGAAAAATGCGGTGCCTGGCCGGTTTGTCTGTAATTTGTGTCCCCAGAATTTTACGGCCAAACACAATTTAAAAGTCACTCTAATCGTCCCTTTTCTTTGGTGATCAAATCTGACCCTTTTAAATAGATCATATCAATTCGCATTTCCAGAAAAAAAATCACCGCTGCACGGCTGGCTGTGGGAGTAACTTTGGGACGAGATCTTCTTTGAATCGCCATCGTAAGAAGTGTAAATCAGTGTCGGGTACGTAGAGCTTGCTTTATCCTTTCCAAACAAGCCTCCTTCAACAACTGTGGATGATTTTTGTCCTCAAACCCTGTGTTCTGTTAATACGTGTTTTCGATTTGCCCTACCCCTTTGTATTCAATATTATAACAGTGGAATGTACTTCGCAGCTCGCTCTCCTACTGTTTCTCTATTTTCAGATCTACCCTCTTGACGTGTTAATTATAAGTGAAATGACCCCAACAATGACCGTAGACGCCTGCATTCGAAACGGCTGGCGTAATCACCTGGACAATACATCATGACACAACATAAGTACAAGTATGTGGGAAGCTTGGGCGTTCAAGTTCAGAAGTTCGGCACGTGTATACAGTATCTAGATTCGATGTCCACTAACTGTCAATCGAAGTGAGATGTGCCAACCAGACTGCTGGTGTTTGTATCTGCTATTTTACATAACAAGGGACCTCACGAAAGACGCTTACACTTGGCTTATCCGCATATCCGGGTAAGCGGTTAACCGCTCACGGTCATGACTCACAGTTTTCGATGTGTGCATCTTGTGTGCATCTTGGTGTGCATCGCGTTTTTGGCCTTCCTTTCCTCCATGAAACCATATCGCCGGAAAGGCCAAATTAAGCTGTAGGTTTCCAGCTGATGACTGGCAAATGAGGACGTGGGATTACTTTATCTGAGACGACCACGACGCCCACCAAGGACCCAGGCCTGATATTAACTTAACGAAGATTTTTTCCCGTGTTAGCAGCTTTGACGTTGGGTGCTCTGGCTGGCATACCTCCCCCAGTGCTAAAGTTGGATGAGCTGGTGGCGCGGTGTGGTGGCGGCATTGACGCAAGGGATGACAGATCAGAGGGTACAGAATCGGAACCTTGGGCTTATGAAGAGGGAGGATAAAAATGAGCTGCAATTTTTTTGTAGTAAGCGTAGCAATTGACGGTCTTGTTTCAAGGAAAGGACACCAAAATATGGAAACTAAACGTCCCAAGGAACCGTAAAAGGGTGCGGCGCCGGTAAAATTCAAAAAGACCATTTGGAGACAAGGGGTGTTGTCCAATTTGCCTCAGGAAACTTGCTTAGCTAATATTTCTCAGTTCGAAAAGACAATCCGCTGCAATAGTATTGGCAAACTTACTTTAAGATGATGAACCTTTTGAATGCTTCATAGCAGCGAAGGATGATGTGGCGATTGTCCAAGGGTTTCATGCCTTCGCTCAAGAGACGATGTGGGCGAGGAACGGCAGGGACATGGAAGTGAACGACAGTGGGCACCGGGGGAAAAGCCCCATACGTGACGGCATCGGCTAATCCTTTCGTAACGCGGATCTTGTACAATATCGGGGCAGTTCCAATCATGACGATTCCGGGAATTAGAAGGTGCTGGACTGGGTCTAATCCAGCGAGGATACGCTTTTTGTTGTTGCTCTGAAACGCCGCGATCGCCTCGGCAATGAGTTGGGCCTCTGCGTCACCTCTGTCCTCCATCTGCCGCTTATCCTCTTGAACAAGAAGAATGATCTCGGAACGGTTCTTCAACAAGCACACATCTGTTTTTGCAAGCATGGAAACTCCGCAAATAAATAGTTCGATGTCTTTCCGGGTGCGCAGCAAAGCGTGTCGACTAGTATAGCCAAGAATGTCAAAGAGGCGAACAACAAAATCGTCGACAGCTGACTCCAATGGCGTCGCATTCATGGCAAGATCCATCGCAGATATGGTGCGAAAGGCATCAAGGTTGGTTGCGTCTTCGGCTTCCAGCTTATACAGCATATCAGCGGGAACATGAGGTTCAGGAAGATGATCCACTTGGAAGAAAGTGGCAGCATCCTGGGGTTCCGTGCTGATGTTGTATGCGGCGAGTTCGTTTCGGCCCCAGTCGTTACCTGATTTAGCGGAGCGAGTAAGGATTTGAGAATTCATAGCCGCTTGTCTCCGCTTGTGTGGTTCGTTTTAGCTTCAAACCTCGATCGGTGCAAAGAAACGACAAAGACGAGGGGAAGGACTTGGGGGGACTCGGACACAAGGGAAAAAGGGCCGATCACATTCCCACGCAAACAGTGCCAAAGACAACGATGTCCCTTCACACCTCAAACAGTGGACAATCAGGCACTTGAGCATATTCATTGACAGGTTGTTTGACGAACAAACAATTTTTGCTTATTGTTTGAACTGGAGACAGATATTGTGAACAAATCCTTCAATTGAATTGAAATAATGGATCTGTCCTCAGTATCTGTCAGATACACAAACAATCAGCAAAAATGATTCATTCGTCCTAGGATATGTCCTGCGCTTCGCTCAGGTGTCCGATACATCCTTGTTTCAGGTGTCAAGTGCCCACCGATGTTGAAATGAGAACAACTTCTGTCATGATCGATATCGCGCACACCAAGAGCTTATTCATGTTGTTGCTGCTTGGTTACAATCTACGGTTAACTTGTCGCGTACGTTCGGGACCCCTTGAAACACCTCTCCCGCCTGCGTTTCATCCGTCACAACTCTACCCCATTTATGCAAGTGAGTATCACAGCTCACTTTTTATTGTTTGTAAGTCTCACCGACCATGTCCCAAAAGGCTCGGGTCGTTCATAACCCTCATTTGAAGCGCATATGGCACTCATTCAAGCATTTGCCATTGAATATGACACATGTGGAATGCCACTTTGCAAGAACCTCACAATGCACCGCTTACGACTCCCGTTAATATTCTTGGTTCTCTGGCAATGAGCCTGATAGCGTTCGCCTCCCTGTCCCACGATAAGGTCTGCTATGCTCCTTTCATCAAAAATTCCCCCCAAGCTTTCATCAACAATTAACAGGTGCATCGTATCGATACAGTGTCATACGCGACGGTCTGGCAGCTGGCTGCAGGCTTCATGTTTATCATTCCTCCTTATCACCGTCGAGGTGCAAATGACACGTTGCAGGACGAATAGTCAATGACAATCGTGTCGCTGTTCGAGGCTCAAAACACAAGGATCCTGTTGCCTTCAAGATTCAAGCAGGATGATTTACGGAGGCGGGGCGCAACTCCAGGCAATAACTCAAAGGCCGCCTGATCACCTAAAAGAAGCTACGCACCACCTCGCGTATCCCACGTTTGATAAATATTAGAGTTGGAGTCACTATGGCAAGGACGTTTCACAGGTCAGCGATCTCCCCCCGCCATAAGAATTACTTTTACCACAAGGATGTTCAGTGCTCAAAGGTATAAATATAAAGTTTGAGGAAAGGAATTCGTAAACCCAGTCCCAACATGGAATTCGAAACATTTTGCAATTTATGTTTCTTGCCTTCGGCAATATGCTCATGCTATTCTCTGCCGTTCCACCTGCCAGGTACGCAGTAGCTCTACTTGTCTTGTTGGTAAACTTACCGTCGCCCTTCACAGCCTTCCCGGAGGGCGATATCTTCACGTTTCCTGATCCAGCGGAGAGGCAGGCATGGATGTCACCCACTGAATCCATCCCTCCCGATGCCGGACCTGTGGGGCCAACTCCTCAACCAATTTTACCAGGTATGCAGTTGCTATACCACGCCTTGTCCATACTAGCCTTACCATATTTTTGCAAGCCTGGGAAGCGTTAATACCGCCCATGAACCTTGAGGTTCCCGAAGCTGGTGTGACCGAACCGCCACCACGTGTAGTTGTAGCGACTCTAGAACAAGTATCCGCCGCAAACAGACGCAGGAGAAAGGCGGTTCCTGGGCGGTTTGTCTGTGAATTTTGTCCCCAGGATTTCACGGCCAAACACAATTTGAGAAGTCAGTCCTTAAGCATCCTTTTCCTTTCGTGGTCGATTCTGACCGTCCTTTTCATTAGATCATATCAATTCGCATTTCCAAAGGAAAACCCACCGTTGCACGGGTGGCTGTGGGAATACCTTTGGGACGAGATCTGCCTTTATTCGCCATCGTAAGAAGTGTAAAGCAGTGCCACCAGGCATGTAGAGCTTGCTTTATCCCCTCCGAACATTGCCGCCTTCAGCAATGGTGGAGGGTTTTTCTTCTCCAGTATATTCTATAAGTAGTATTTTAAATTAGCCGTATGTACCTCTTTGTATTTAATATGGTTTCTCCTGCCACGTTCAACGTTGCTCCAGGCTGCGCACCTTTGATCTTTTCATTGACTTCCATCGAGACATTCGTTTCGATCAAAAGCGCAAGAAAATAACAAAAGAGCAAGAGTGCGAAGTATGTTACGATCAATTTTCGCCTTATCTACAGTGCTTTGCATTGCCGTCTGCACAAGGAAGTTTCGAAAACTCTGTTTGGTTTTGTGTATTCGTCACAGATTGTCACGCATTAGAACCAGATCTGAGCACACAACCAACTCCCGTGGCGCCATATGTATCAGATGCGATGCGCACACGGATTATCATTTGGCATGGTGGGCGTCATCTCTCATCACAAGTAATTTTTAGGCCTTGTTGGATGAAGTGGTCTGTTTCTCCCCGATTTGTTGCAGTCACGGTAAAACACATACAAACAGGTTTTCCAAATTCCGTTGTGCAGACGGCAGTGCAAAGCACTGTAATCTAATCAAGTCTGCTCTCAACTACGATGCGTTCCCTGCACCTAAGCTATGAACACCTTGCACGTACAGACGGCTCCGCCCGCTTCGGCTTCGGCCCAAACACACACGCACTCGCCTCCCTATCCGGGCCTATCGAAGTCCGTTTAGCCGCCGAACTCCCGTCGCAGGCTACGTTTGAGGTACATGTCCGCCCGCTATCTAACGTCCCCGCCACAGAAGCCAAGGCGCTAGCAAGCATCGTAAAGAGCGCCCTTTCGCCTTCCTTAATCTTGTCGCGGAACCCGAGGACGCTGGTCCAGCTCGTCGTGCAGGCCTTATCACCTTCGAGGGATGGGAGTGGGATGGTGGCTGCAATGATCAACGCCGCGACACTGGCGTTTTTGAATGCGGGATCCATACCCATGAAGGGGATAATATGTGCCATGCCTGTTGGAAGAAGGGTGGGCGGGGAGCTGGTCGTGGACCCGTCGGAGGAGGAAGTGGAGGTGGAGGCCACAGGGTGTTTCGCGTTCCTTGTTACGCAGAACTTGGGCCACCAAGAGATGACCGCGTCATGCGTGCACACGTCTTGGAAGGAAGGGGGGGTAGGGTCGAGTGGGTTGGATGATCTGGTACGCGCTACGGAGCTGGCGAAGGGTGCAGCGTTGGTTATCGCGGACGAGATGAGGGAGAGTCTTTGCAAGATGGGAGTGGTTCCGGCGTTTGTGTTCGAAGAAAAGGGAGAGGGGATTTTGAAGGACAAAACTATGGACCTCAAAATGGAGTCTTAGGTGCGATTGCCTCCAGTCTTCAGCAACGTAGCTCATTCCCAGTCAGATACCCACCTCTCTTACAACAAGAGACCCAATCTGTATTATACATTGCAACAGCAATCCACCCTGTTCCATCTCATTAGATGGGTTTCTGATTCGATGGTTCCTCTTGGACAACTTCAAAACACCCAGGCGACAAGCCCACGATCCGTGCCGTTCGGGGGTGACGAACAAGTCATAATCTCCGCCCAATGGCAAACGGCGAAAAATATTGCAAATCAGCTCATTGATATAAACTTGGATATCTGTTTCTTCGTTCTTGTTGGGGCTCCAGCGCCTCATCTCATGATGACTTTCCCACTCCCGCAGCCGCTTCTTCAACTCATCACTCGCTACTCGAGGGCGTGCAATCTACTAAAAAGGCGTACTTCAATGGTGGGTGAGTGAGTTAGGTTCTGATTGAATATAAGTTGTTCCGCAGAAGAACAATGCTCGTCGATTCGTCCCATTACACCATGTTCAGCGTACGGTCCACAGTTTGCCCGCTTTTCATGTGGTACCAAGACAGGCTATGTTGGTGGTCTACTCGTGGACGTCAACCCTGAGAAATTCACAGTGCAGGACACACGAGACGAGAAATCTGGTATTCTTTCCGTTACGCCGACTTCAATTTCGTTGTCTCAGGCCGTTCAGTGCATCTCGGTTCCGAAAGTCCCCCTCTGACCATTCCTGACGAGGTTACGTCGCTTTTCAGGCTGTCTCGCTTCGCTGTTCTCATTGACATACACAGATGCAGGATAAAATACCCGGAAATCACTAAAAGGTCACCATAAATTCAAAACCTTCAACGCCTTTGCGTAAACTACAGCGAGGGAAGTTTGAACTCTCGCTTTTGGTAGCGTCCCCTCTTCTCCTTCTGATGTCCTGCGTGTCGTTTGCGGAGTAGAGAGGCTGTTGTAGACGTCAGCATAAAAGGTACGTACATCGTCGAAAGTGCACTCTCGTCATCGGTGCCAACGACACAGTGAATCCCATTGCTCTCGAGCCAGGTTCCGCTATTGCAGTATGTAGTCACACACACAGTCGTTCATTGATATTCATCCGATTTGATTTACAGAATGCCCGTCTTGCAAGTTTGGAAGAGAAAACAAGTGGGTGTTCGGTCCTTGTTCTCACTACCACCGTCACCATATCACCAAATTTATCGCACTAACATACAATTTCATTTCTAGGTCATATCTACCCCGAGCGCGTAGATCCCCAAAAACAGGAGCCAGGGCATGATGAATAGCGTGGAGGAAGAATAGCCTGTACGATACATGTCATTCAAGGTAAGTTGAAACTTGAACCCTCCAACGTCAATCTTGTCGGCGTTCTTACTAAACGTAGCTTTTGCCTTGAGAGCCCCGTGACCTCTTCATGACCAATGCACGCGAGGGCAGCGGTCGGCGCGCATGGAATAGGGTGGCATTCACTGGTGTGGGCTCCTTCATATTTGGAATGCTTTTCATGCTTACATACTGCCGCAGACTGGCTTCGCAACTCTTCCCACCCCCTATTTTATTCAATTGGAAACCAATGTCTCAAGACTCCTTTACAGCATTACCCCACTACCGCCATGACGCCTGCTACTAGCACGCTTTTGAGGATGCCTCTCACACTATTCGTATTATTGTTCCCGCACCCAGCATGGGCCGATTCAGAGTCTGGTGGAAGTATCTCGCTTCCGCTGTGGGGCTACATCATCATAGTGATCTGTGAGTACTTCCCTCCTATCACTGGCCCAATTTTTCACCAAATTTCGCTGTGGTTTGACGGGTAGGCATGTTGGGCATTTGTATATGCTCAAATATTTTCTCAGACAGAATTTATGGATTTCTTGAAAGAGTTCATCGATCTTTTGCAAGGCTTCTGAAGAAAGATGCCAACAAAAACCAAGGAACCATCCCCGTTCATCTTCCTCCTCATCTACAAGTTCTACCTCCCCCTCCCGTCCACTCTTACGCTGAAAGCATTGCGGACTATCAATCTAGCCTTAGCAGCATCAGTTATGCTAGTAGATCTGACCTTGAGGCATCCAGCACTCCGTCTCTGGAGAGGACAGTCAGCAGCGCTAGTAATGACGGAGTTTTTATAGCGATGTGCGTATACATTTTTTGTTTGATTGATTCATGAAGTGAATATTTCTTACAGCAATCCGTTATAAATTGGTGAAGCGTTGCAAGGGTCAAATTGGGCAATCAAGTTCGAGCCTTTGACTTCCGCATAAACCTACCTGCGCAAGCCCGCAAGCTGTCGAATTTCTGTCTGCCTAGGGCGAGGATAGTACTTCATGACACTCATCTGATAATATCTCCCGTCAACGCAAACAAAAATAGTTACATGGACTCGAGTCACTGTCATACATAAGGTTAGCGGTATACAAGAGTATTACGTTTGAATTAAGAGGATCATCTCGACCACTGAAAAATTAGGGCTCGATTGGTCGTGACTGACTGCGGATGTCGAGGATGAGGCGAAACTAGACCGAGTAAGTAAGGAATAGCTAGAGGATATAAGATTTGCTTGTTTTTCACAAGTTTTTCATCTTGACAAACGACAGGAGTCCTGAGCAGGAGAGGAACGCTGAAACTCTAGCACATCTTGATCCTGATGTCGCAGCTTGGAGGGTCAGAGGGTCGCATAGCCTCGAATTTATCCGTTCGGTAACGTACTATGTTTGTTCAGGTGTTTGAAACCCATCAGGAGTTTGAAACTGCACATTATCTTGCCTTCCGCTTACCTTAGGATCTTGTAAATTTCAGGGAAGATGTATTTATGCATGAGATTTACTATTCCAAATTTTCAGCGGGAGATTCGAAGATTTGTGCTCTGGAGGCATGACTTTGTGCTTTTCATTACACCAACCAAACAAAAGTATTGGAATGTTTTCTCAGATTCCTTTGGATCGGCTAGACTGTTTATTCTGAAACTTTCCAAGTACATTTAAATTGTATTTGAAAGTCTACCTACAAATTTCTAGAGGGGGAGATGAAGTGCTCTCTGGAGGAAGGGCAAAATACCAAATTTTGCTCGAAAAACAGCTCGAAAAACGTGACATTTGCGTGACATTCGCACATCATCCATCAGCCAAATTCGTTGTTACCTAGTGTGACACGAGTTTCAATCTCCTGATATATCTGAACCCTGAGCACCGGAACGCCTCCGACAGCGAACACAACACATTTATACCAAAAAAAAGTAGATATTTATATAGAAGAGAAAAAATATTATTGGCTTGTTAAAAATTTAAAGAATTCAATGAAGTGGTGAGGCAGAAATCGCGCAGCGGTGAAAAAGTTTCAAACACCTGAACAAACATAGTAGGTTAAGATGGAATACCGGCGAAGATAAGACTCGTGAGATAAGTTCACGACCAGACAAAAATAAAGTAGGGATGTGATAGGGGGATCACCCGACGACTCGGAGTTTGGACTTGATTTGGACACAAAGAGTGGAAACGTACGGGATAGATAAGAACAACGTTGATTGACTGGTGCAAAGATTTCAATGGGTTTGGAGAAAGGCGTCTTTATCCCGAGGGAAGTATATAGGGATAGTAACTATGTACATGTAACGTCCATGTGCCTCCATGCGCTGGACGGAGGTTTATTTAAAGGGCCCTGAATACGTGGAGAGGCACGTGCCGGGCCCCGAACAATTGTGGAGCTTCGGGCCCCGGCACAACAGATTTTCATCCTTCTGTTGTGCGTCTGGCTAGTCGTTACATCATCGATCTCGGACAAAGCAATCCATAGTTCATCCAGTAATATCGTCTTCGCCGCAGAAATGAACATTATAACAAGAATCGCTCGCTACGATTGCACATCCAGAGAAATCTGACACGAGGCGAATAAGCTAATTGCGATCATCGCTTCGTCAACTCAAAAATACTTACACCAAACGCAGGGCCATCGTTTTTTTGAGGAGCTGATCCAAGTAAGGTTCACACAGCTTGAGGAGTCGTCTCAGGTTTCTGGGTTTATACATACTTCTGTAGTTAGTAATACATCTTGAATACAACCAAGTTCCCAAACCACTACGGGAAGTTCCTCAGGCACACATTTGGTCACAAGAGCCTAAATGTCTCTCGGCTGTACCCGAGATCCTTTTGAGTTGTACATCCCTTGATGGCATCATTCAAGATCGTGGCACATGAGGCCTTGAGGGAGTAAGACCACCGAACAACCTCGAACAACTTGAACAGGAAAACATAAAAGCTCGAGCTCAATTCCGCAGCTTTCTCCCTCAAGCTTTAACGTTGCAACCGCAAGTCGTTGATATGACAGATGCCGCTCCATTATCACAAATCGTGCTCAATGATACGTGCGTACCAATCAATCTAATAATATCAACACGCGCCGTAATCTCTGTCGCAACACAGTTTGGGCGCGGCTTATATCGGGGTTGTCGTTTCTGCATGGTAAGTGATCATGGTAGCATTCTATAACCGCTCTTCTGACTCTCTACAGCCTTTTTGGGGGTCTGAATTCTACTTCGCTGTTTGTCAAAAATTTGACGGGATCATTCTAGTTTCTTGCGTTCAAGCGTGGTACTACTTTACCCACCAAAGCGATCGATGGCAGCTGAAATTCCTGGTAAATATCAATGTTCAATTTTGCTTCTACCTCGAAGTGATCATTGTGTATAGGTTTCGTGTGTCATGCTTACCGACACCATACATCAAGGTCTCATCACTCACACTGGTAAAATCATCTCGATTCTATCGCCGTATGTTTAGTTGACGATTTCCCACAGTTTACACGTATACCATCACGAATTGGGGCAATGCAACTTTTCTTGGCGAGCTCGTTCGGTACGTGATGATACTTCTGTATGGTCCAATACTCACTTGTCGATTTTTTGAGTATAGAACACTCTTAATTGAGGTCCTATTCAACGTGCGTCTCCTAATTGTTTGCATTGTGGGCGACCTGAATTTCAGTTTGCTGGTAGGGATTGACCACGTTTATAGTGCAATGGTGAGCCCACTCCGCCCTCTTGTTCTTGTTCTGAACTTACTTATTTGATTGATTTCTGTTACGTTACAGTTTTCTTGCAACGCGTATTTGGCGATGTCAGTTTCCGTTTACTGTAACTTTCTATCCACTAAATTTCATTAAATTACAGTGAGCGATGGAAAAGTGTGGCTCATAGTCATCGTTGTAAGTGCTTATTTTTGAGCAGTGGACTGCGGCTAATAGTAGCACAGGCGTTACTTATCTTGGGGGAGTTTGGTTCGTCACCATCAGTGCCTTTTCTCTAGTACCTTTTTACTCAATTGCGCAACAGGAGTCAGCTTAGGTGCCCAACTAACCTGTATTGTCATTTAAATTCACTGACTTGATTAACTCAATTAGCTTATACGATCATATCGTGAGTGACCTACTTAATCTGCCTCATTTGCTGTAACAGCAAACACAGGTTACGATTCGAAACCTTCGCTCAACTTACTCACCTCAAGGTGAAGAGTAGTCATTAGACTTTCTATGTCTCTAACACCTGGTTCTCTGCCAATCAATAGGCATTGTCCCTCTCAACCAATGCCCTAGCAGCGGCGGGCGACATTGTCATCGCCGCCTCATTGTGCACAATGTTACACCTCTCTCGCACTGGCTTTCACAGGTATGGTTTACTTTTCCGCCCCCCTCTCGGCATGCGCTAACTCTCGCACCCAGATCGGATACAATCATTACTAAACTCGTACGTGCTCATTCTCTGCTTTGTCTCGGCCTGAATGTGCATTGCGCAGATGGTTTTCTCCATCAATACAGGCCTTCTCACAAGGTAGTCCCACGTCACGAAGCTCCTTCTTGACGCAATCTCATAAATTGGATACAGCCTATGTGCCTTAGCGTCCCTCGTTTCCGTACGTTTTTGTTTCTTCGATTGGAAACATAATGTAGTAATAAATATTCACCACCAGATCCTCGCGTGGCCGAAGACGTTCATTTATATCGCCTTTTACTTCTGCATAGGACGCCGTAAGATATGCCTTCTCTGCTTGCCGCACACAATTTATTGATACCAAAGATAGTATATACAAACTCTCTGCTCGCAACGCTCAACGCGCGGGGGAAAATTCGTGAACTGTCAGACGGAATTGAAAGCATCAGTGGAAATAGTATATCTTTGAACTCATTGGGAAAAAACAAGACCGGAAAGATTTCCTCTAGTCGGGTAGGTCTCGTTGTTTTGAGTCAAGTCTGCTTTGTATTGATGTAATGTTCCAGCAACAGCAGAATATCTCAATCATGATTGAAACGCAAAAAGAGTTCGCGACGGATTCTCGGAACGATATGGAAAAAGGTTCGGCTGTAAAAGTGGTAAGTCTCGCACCCATGTCTACATACGTGACAGCTTATTTCTTCACAGGGTTCTAGAGAGCCTGAATATGAATCAGCGTGAAACGTGCTTCGCAACTTGGAACACGGTGTACAGACTTTGATTGGCAATGTTATATCTCATTTTACGACTGGTTTCGAAAACCTTGTCAATTTTAATATTATCTATGTAGATAATGTTGAGACGAAACGTGGGTCGACAAAATTCAGTAGATTTATCGGCTCTGAGGGCCCCAAAAGGGTGAGATATTCCAAATCTGAGAGCCTCAGATCGATATTTGAGGACCACAATTTGAAACCCACTGTGGGCCCTGATTGTTTGGGTCGCTTCTCGCGCCGTTGATCGTATACTTGCTCTTTGTACCCCCATAACCAGCATCCGACCGTCCCAATGCTGAAGTTGAGTAAATTGTCTTTTTCGCCGTTGATGTTGTTGGATTGATACTATCAGATACCTGTAGCCTTGGAATGAACAGCTACCTGATAACGAGATTTGACGCGGAGGAGTGATCACTGAATCCTATCTTGCAAATAAGGTTTTGCTAGACATCCGAACACATGTCGAAGTCATCCGTTCAGCCCTGGGCGTTCAATGAGCATCAACATGATCTCGCCGACAAACTGCTTGTACAAAGTTGGTGGCGTGTGGTCCTACGAGTGACTATTGTTGTTTGTAAGATTCAAAACGGCCGTTCGAAGAGGACCGGTGTTAGAATAGTCGACCATGGCGTCGGAAACGTTACGAGTCCGAGGTACGGGTATCCGTTTCTTCTATGGTCGTCTTTTTCGTTCCGTTTTGTTACGTGTCAGTCGGAGCCGGAAGTTGGTGTGCTATTGCTCCCGTACTTTCCTTTGCCCGTGTGTTTGCTTTTGTATCCACCTCAGGCTCTCGCCGATCTGGCCCATCGAACAGTTCTCGAACGAGAACCCTCCCTCTCTCCCTCCTTTCCCGTCGTTGAATATGGCCAAATATCTCAAGATCAACCAGTTAACAAATCGGTCACTACGGATGAGAGTTACTGAATCACTTGTTTCAATCGTATGTCATTTCATACTATGCATACAAAAATTGACCTGCAACACACGCCAGCGAGCGGACTTGTACATGCCACGTGCAGCGGTGGCCCAAACCAACAAGCCATTCGGCCGACAGGGCTGGCAAATGCAGAAGCCACTTCGGGGGTGCCGATGGGCTCTCTCCGTTTCATTTTCTTCCTACTTATCATCAGTCGCGATGCAGAAACCCCTCTTATGGAATTACGCACCAAGTTCGGATTAAAGGGTGCAAACCTCAGGTAGATCTCCTGTATACGACGATGACAACTACATTTCGATCGATGCTCGCCCAGCGCCTAGCTACTCTGCTTCCGTCCCGAACGGAAACAGAAATCATAAATGACGGTCTCCACATCTCGATAGCATCCTTAAAGCGCCCCCGGGTTTGACTCCCCAAATTTTTATTCATTCCTCTTCGGCCCAACACTCCAAATGGCATTAGTACAGACCCTCCCTGGAATGGAACTGCTTTATGACCACGCGATTTCTAGCAGGCTGATCACTGTGCGTGTTCTGTGAAATTTAATTCATCGAGCTAATTTTTGTAGTGTTTCGATGGTAGGTCATAGCGGAATTAGGCGTGGTAGGTAACGCCAGACTGATCTGATTTGTTTTGAATATCGCAGTTGCCGCCGTGACTATGTTTTTGTACGATTATTTTTTGACACTGGGGATGGAGGTGGATTTGGTATGGTCGTCGAGTTTGGGCCCCATGAAGATCTTGTTTGCTATTCAGCGATACCTCCCCTTCCTGGACACAGCTGTGTTGTGTCTTCTCCGTGTGTGAACTGTGTTTGTATTCTGGACTCACTACTTATCTATATCTATCGCAGAACTGCTATCGACCACAATCAGCCCATCAGTTTGCAGATTAGCTGGAAACATCCAAAGCTGTATGTCACTCTGTGTACATTGCCGATTTTGGCCGCTTCTAATGCAACGCTTTCAGATTTAATGGTCACTGGATTTCTACTGTCAGAACGTTCGTCTCACTATCATATTTATTTTGAACAAACACTAATATGATGCTTTCAGTCATATTTACGCTGCGTGCATGGGCCGTATGGAAGCGGGACAAGCTTTTAGGGATTGCTCTATCGATCTTTCTCCTTGCCATAGCTGTTGCCAGCTATGTCGTCGTTTGTCTTTCCCAACGTAGCCTAGCATGTGAGTCGGAAACTACATCTTACCAAAAATGTTCCACTAACCTATTTTATAGACAGCGGCAGACCGTATCCCGGGTTTCAAGGGTGTTATATGACTGGTTCAAATAAGGTGTCCTACGTGAACTGGCTGCTATTGATGGCGTATGAGGCCGGTGCGTACCTGAAAATAAAATGCAGGAAAAGGGTTAACCCAACTGCATTAGTGCTACTTGTCCTGATGATCATACCTGGAGTCACCGCATGTTGGTTCTCATTTCCTGGACGATACCTTGATCTCATTACAACATTTTAGATCGAGAGGGAGGGAATAAAGGTCTTTATGCCGTTGTATATTGCGACGGTCAGTCTCAAAATGTAGAGTACGAATGGGATTGTCTAACCAGCCGCTAGGTATTCTATTTTATGTGTACCTCTTTGGTAAGAAAATGTCCGCAGAGTGTAAGGTCGTGGGTTTCTTACACTACCCTGTTTGGCAGTCCTGTCTACTACCAATGTCATTGTCATAAATGCTTTTCCAGTCAGTTATTTTATTGTCTTTCACCAAGAGATCAACGTTCAACACCTAACTGGTGACTGACCAACAGGCAGACTATTTTTACATTCTTTCACCGTATGTGTTTTATTTATTTGGAATATGTCAACTACTCATCATCGCATGTACAGAGCGGAGAGATGTCTTCATTCCGTATTAGCCAGCAGGGTACTCCTGCACATCAGAGACTATGTGTCAATGAGAAACGAGGAAGCCATTTTCCTTCCACATGATGGTATTGCCGACATACAGTTTGCTTCTGCCGGTATTGCAGGGTCGGATGATTCAGTAGATTCCTTCGCGGCTGCATGATTCGGAGGGAGCCAGGAAAAAACTGAATTCGCGGGCATCTAATTTAACTGAAATAACACATTACATAAATCCTGTATAACCATATAAATTCACTTACAGTTTTGGAGCAGTGGTTGCGCCTGTCGTATTGGATGAATAGGCCCTTACCACTTGGGTATTTGAGATTTACGTGGTTCGCGTCAGGTTCGCATCACTTCGCGTCACCACCTAGTGATGTTTTCTAAATTTCGGAAGAACTCCAAGGAACTTGAAGGAAGGCACTACCAACACCGCCACAAATGACCAAAGTGATCGCGCACAATTACGTAATGATGTTGAACTCGTCGTTCGAGACGTCGAGCGGCAATATTTCCACGTCGTCAGCGACCACCCCAATTTCTCTCACGGCTATTTCAAATCAAATACCCGATGGCGCCAGGATTGACGCGCTCCGTGGAAGGCGGGTCAGGCAGCGGTGAGTGAGTGGGAATTCATCAGATTCTCATGTACGTACTGACGGGTCATGGGAACCGCTTTAATCTGGACTGTCATCAATGCCTGTGCGTACTCGTCGTGCTGCTGCCGCTACTGCAGATATGCAGATAGATTCGGAGGTAGAGGAAGAGGAGGAGCAGATTGATGTAGATGGCGAAGAGGAGGAATTAGAGGACGAGGACGAAGATGAGCAAGTTGAGGAAGAGGATGACCAGGTTCGCCGTCTCTTTCAACCTGTAGCAGATTCTGATCCCCACCAAGGGCGATGAGGACGATGAGCCACCCCCACCCGTGCACCCCAAACTTCGCATCAAGCTCAAGCTTCCAACCGTAGCTAGCTCGAGCAACAGTCCTGGTACGACGCCTGACGTTGAACTATCACCGTCGAAACGGCGCAGGGCTGGTATATCTCTCTTTTTCTCGATTTGAACGTTTTAACCCTGGTCATAGCAGAAATTGACGTAGAGTCCGAAGATCCATCTCAATCCGAGTCGGAACGATCTTCGAGACCAATGACAGCGCGTCAGGCGGTGCTGGCGAGTGTCGTCGATTCTACTCATGTGTCGCTCAGTACGTTCACAACTATCATATCACTAACTAATGCACCCAACTCCTACAGCTGGCCGCACGGGCAATAAGAAGCAACTCAACGAATCCGAGCTCGCCCTCCGCCGCGAAGAGACAGCCCGAAAACGCAAGAACCTATCGGAGAAAAAACTAGAAGATGAGAAACTGGAGACCATCAACCGGTTGCTGAAGAAACAAAGTAGACCCAGAGGTCGGAGACCCGCCAATGCGTTGCCGCTGGAAGACACGCCTTCCGCCACTCCCAAGGTCAAAGCCAAGTCAAAGCTGTCAAAGGAGCAAGATGTCGACGAGGACGTGGATATGGATGTCACGGAGGAGAAGGAGGAAGCGGAGCGGGAGGGGGAGGAGAAAGAGGAATCGAAACCCGTGACGATGTATCGTTGGGTGACTTCCACCCAGGGTGATGGAGAAGACAAGAAAACGGTCATTTCTTTCTCTGTACCCACCACCCTTTTGCCACCAGTGGAAAGCCCCGTGCCCGATCCCTTACAGCCCTCCGGTCGCGGTCCAGGAGTATGCGCTATTGAAGGGTGCTCTGGTGCGCGAAAGTATCGTCTCGTGAAGGATTGGTCTATAGGCGCGTGTGGGCTGGATCATTTACGGTTGTTGGAGGGTCAGTAGCTGAGTGGTAGTTTTGACCTTTCTTCCTCGCCCTTGACCTACTAGACCCTGTTGTGCACACCATATACAATTCGCAATAACTCACGACCTCATCAATAACGCTCGTGAGTCGACCATACTATCCATGTAGCTGGACTCTTTCAATTCGATTGCCTTCCATATTCGAAGTCGTCTGCTTGTTTTTGGTTTCAGCTTTGAACTTGGTGTTAAGCTAAGCCAAGGACGAAAACGCTATACCAACTGTCTCCCGACATCTTCGAGAGACTTGATCTCCACTCCCTTTTAACTCGGGCTGCCCGCGCTCCCATTGGTCGCAGCCCTTCCAACAGCTCCCGTACCTCCCTCTCAGAGGGCCGTTGTTGTTGCCGGCATCCCGCTGCCGCTCCGTTTAATGCTTCTTACTAACTTCGCCCTTACAGACCTAGACTTATTTTCAATTGAAATGGGAGCATTGCAACTGCCAGCGAAGATTGCGGACCGAACGGCAGCACTGCGTCAGTAAGGTGGTAATTTCTGACCTCACATTGGCGAACTCAGGTGCGGCGGCGTCCGGATCCCCATGTGCAATGGATTTTCCCTCCGCATCCACCAAGTGAAGAGTGGTAGCAGGACTCCTTCTGAAGTTCCACAGTCGTGTTTGTCCTGGCCATGTTGAAGACATAGCCTTCCCATATGGTAAAAATGTTAAACGGTTTCAAAGTGGGTTCTGCCAAAAGGCAAATCCGCCTTGAGCCGAGAAGGTCACGCCTAGAGAAACACTGCGCATTATACAAGAAACAGAGACATAAAATCGTATTTTGTCTAGAGGTCACCTACAGCAAATTATTCCGTTTTCATGCGAATTCCAGGTGCCAATCTCCGAAGATTGAACGCAATATAACTTTCCCACTCTGGATCAAGTCCACACCCCCGCACAACAACATCGTAACGGTAAAAATCTCGAACAGCATCTTGATGTATCCGCGAAGGGCGGCGTGGTCTTCATGAACAAGGGGTAAGTGAACCCCCACCTCACCGCCTTGACCAAAAAATTCGCGATGCGGGAGCTGTTGAGCCGGATAATCAAAATCTCTTGTCAATTCATACAACATCGACGGGTACTCTTGTGAGTGCATATAATTCCCATTGTTCAACGATCCCACCGCAGCGTGAACGTTGAGAAATAGATATGCGCGCAAAGCAGCTTCCATGACGCGTGAAAAGCCGAAGTGATGTCCCCAACTGAGATAGCGGAGCGAATGAAGGGGAATGAGGGGATGTTGGGCGAGCATTAGGAGAGGTGCAAGATGGTTGTCGGATATCAAAATTTTAACGGCTTCGGCCAGATTTGCATGCCTGGTATTGTAGTAGAGCGTCGGCGGGATGGATTGATCGTCTCGGATCGCAAGCCCTATCCAGTTTTCAATTTTTTGGTTTTCCTTGTTGAGATAGTCGGGATATCTCTCGCACATTTCGTCTGGAAATAGGTCGCCCGACATGGGCAGTGTGGTATATGCCCGCATGGGATACTTTCCTCTCTCCGTGTGCGAGAATCTTGAAATTGTAGAGGTCAAGTTTCTCGAAAAATAATTCATGTCTTTTTCTTGTGTAGCGCTGGTCACCCTTTTAGCAAAGAGGCCTGTTTTGCGTGGGGTACGATGTGGGTTGTCGTAAACGAATTCTAGATGGGAAGCGATGGTGTTCCAGGGAAGGTTATGCTCCTGGTGCATTGCAACTGAGATTTGGGGTCTACATAAATCCGTTAGCCCGACTTGAGAAAGACCTGACTGTTGATTGACCTCTATGTTGACAAGAATAGTAGTTTGGCCCAGCGGTCACGTTGGGATTGTGCAGAGTGTGTTTGAGTGCAAAATATAAATTGGGAGCCCTCAAGGACTTCAAAACTATAATTCCAGAACTCTCCTGACAAGGAGGTTCGAGGGAAAGATGGATAAGATCATAGAACGGAAATCTTGATATCGGATCATGATCACTTGTCTGTTTTCATACCCCGACAGTCGGGCCGAGGCCAAGAGAAAATGCCGAGCCAGTGGAGGGCGTCGGAAAGTGCGACCGTAAGCGATTGCCTTCATGCACGCCGTTACTTCCAATTCCCAAAGTTGCTGCGCCGGGATTCCTGAATATATGTACCACTTTTTCCAGTGAAGCGTTGGAAAACAAACAACACAAAATAAGCGCAATGGGCTAAAACTTACTTGCGCCGGACCGCCATCAAAGCGGTATCTTTTACAATCTCCCCCACCAGGAAGTAAGCAGACACCCCTCGCCAAAACAAAACTCGTATGGTTTTCTCCTCCCCCTCAAACATCCAAGATTTCAGCGACGATGGAACCAGGATCATGCCCAGGAAGCACAGTATCTGAGGGCTCGGACGAACTTCTCAGCGAGGCCCCTGAATCCGACGTTCCTTTAGGTACCTGGGCGCAAGATGAGGTCTTTCGGCATAGCGACATATTGGAAGTAATTTCTTATCATATCGGAGACCCTTTGGCTTCGCCATCCGCGTTTTCGGCGCGACAGGACCTCTTTTGCGCCGCGTTAACTTGCAGAGGGTTTTTGGCACCCTGCATGGATATCCTCTGGCGCGACCTCGATTCTCTTCTTCCTGTCTTGCGCCTATTGCCGGATTTTACCTACGTCGACGGTTCTTACGTGAGATACCTCCTCCCAACTCCGTCCACTTCACTGAAACGTTGTCGTCAGATACTTTTGGGAACGGTCCAGGTAGACGATTGGCTGCGCCTGGATACATACGCGCGTCGCGTAAGAAGCCTGGCGATGGGATATGACTCGAGCTTCATCTCGCCACAGGTCTTCATTCGCCTTTTGAAACTGCGATCGAACCCGTTGCTTCCCGCATTGGCTCAGCTGCGGATTTCAACGTCAAGCTTCACCGACGCGCAGAGTTCATTCTTGCTGCCAGCTCCCGCCTTAACGTCCGTTGAAATTGATATCGGTACAGAAAGCGCAGGCGTCCCCACACTCCTTTTGACTCTATCTCAAGAACAACCATTAATATCTCACCTCAGCCTTCGCGGCGCCGGCAAGCTGCCTTCCTCCATGTTCGCCCCGTCATGCGCATTCATAAGTCATATGAAGCACATTAGCTCTTTACATCTATCATTCTCGGTACCATCAATATTCAACTCCTTAATGCCCGTCCTCGAGATGGTATCTCTCATCGACCTAAGCCTGGATCTTCGTGGATGCACCATCGAATGCGTGATGCCATATTTCGTCTTTCCACCTCTTCCCGGCGCTATCGCTCCTGTACGGCGAATAAAAAAGCTCCGCGTCGAAGGGGAAGGCCCTATCATTTTGCATTTGACGAAACGCCTAGGCGTCATCCCTTCGTTGACAGTCCTCGAAGTTATTGTCCATTCAGACCGGACGGTTTTATTTCCTCTTAAAATCGGAACGTTCTTCCACAACATCATGCTATGGATTCTGCTCCTCGCAAAATCAATACGTTCCCTTAGAATTCACAATGATTCCGCCATCCACGCGAGCGAGTCATCCGCTGTCTTTCTGAATCCTAATTTAATCGACCTTGAACATCTCGAATTCACAAATTTTCCTATCTCTGCTGAAGACGAAGATATTGAAGCGTTTACATTGTCATCGCCCTCTCTCATAGACCTATTCCTTCCCGGAGGAGGTCAAAAACTTCCTTCTCCTGCCGTCCTCCGTTACCTCTCCGAAAATTGTCCAAAGTTGGAACACCTGCAAATTCATCTCAACATGACTTTTGTTCCCAAACTTCCGGAATCATATTGCTACTCTCATCTTCTTAAAAACCTGACTATCGGGAGCTATGATTTTGAAGCAACAATTGACAATCTAATCGCGATTTCTTCATATCTCCATCGTCTATTTCCTCATCTGCGCACCGTTCAACAGGATGACGCCTATGATATCGAACAATGGGGGCATGTGGACCTTCTACTACGGGCATTTCAAAGCGTCCGAAAGGATACCTATGCGTGTCTGGGGTTGACATGAAACGCACGTTTACTTTTTTACAAATGGCCGTTAGCAAATATACAGTATAGCGACTATAACTTGTAGTACCACTGGCATATTTACCAAATAAGATGACCGCTACAAAAGAAACCTGGATACTTACTTGTCGACGAAATATTCACCGCCGTCCATTTAGAAGGCGTGGTCGGAAATAAATAAAAGTGCTTGGTTGGTAGGCAAACGAATCACAGACGGTTTTTGGACAATGATTGTCTGAGAATATATGGAACATTTACCTTGGCAAACTAAGAGGGAGTGATCTGGGTGGGAAGTCGCGGATTTTATATTCGATGTGAGAGGTCTGATCAGCATTAACTGAAGTAACTGAATGATTTCCTTTGCCGCCAAGAAAATGACGAGTTGCCTACCAGGAGACACGGCGTCGACACGAACCCCTTGGGAAGACCAGGCAGAGACATTCAAACATCAAAATAAAAGAACACATAACAGTAAAACAGGTTTATGTAAAGCGATGGCATAAACTGAAGCCCGACGGATCTATCTGTACAATTTTTCCACCCTGGCCCTTTCGTCCGCACGAACAGCCTTGAAAGCCCAAACGTAAGTTTTCACTTGCTCCCAAGACTTCGCAACATCAATGTTCGGGAGGATGGACCCAAGCCGTTTTAGTTGTGGGAAGAGATTATCTAAACGCCTTGCAATAGCCAGCTTATCTCCCACGGCAGACCCCCCCAAGGACAACGATTCCAAGCCATGAGATGACGTATTGTGATGAGGGGGATGGGGTGGCATTGCTTGAAAGTCCACGTAGAGGGCAAGAGATTTGAGATGGGGACAGTAATTGACCAAGTCAATTAGAGAATCAATAGATAGTTGGCCTATATTTCGAGCCGGAACCTTAATATGGAGTACGCGCAACATCCTCCAAGATACGGCGATTTGACGGCAATGGGCGTTCGTCAGATCCAAAGTAGACTTAAATTGCGTAATTTCAAACCGTTCCAATTTGTTTGCTTGAAATAGAGCCCCAAAGACGTCGGGTAGCGACAATGTGTACTGAAGGGCGCGATGATCTTCCAGCGTAAACCCACGAAGAGATGTCAACCATTTGGCCTTCACTGCATCTACCAAGGACATCCATTCAGCTGATGTCGCCCGTGTGCTGTCGCCCGTAAGCACCTTCATAGTTACGTCCTCCAACGTCGCTGATCGAATGGCGGAAAGAGACATCAAAATGAGTGATATTGACCCCGTTACATTCAAAACTAAAAGTGTGTCGAAGCTGTTCGGGATAGATGTAACGTGGGAGTTCTGAAGATCGAGCGTCAATTGAGTTAATCGCGTTAACCCGGAAATCCAGTTAATAACGGTGTCATCAATCGTCTGGCCCATGTTGGTAAGAGACAACGACCGAAGATCCGTAAGTGGCTTGATAGATTGTACGGACAGCCCAGTCAATGCGCCATCAAGACTCAACGATTGAAGTCGATGCATTGAAGCCAGGGCGTATAGAAGGATAACCATTATATCGCTTTCCTTCGTTATATTCTTCAGTTCAAAACTCTGTAGTGATGGAGACAACAGCAAAAACACTTCTGTCGAGAGTGACGAGTAGGATGAATAGCAAATGTGGCGTAAGTTAGGAAATACCGGGCTAAGAGATCGATCAAGATAATGGAGGATGGCTGAAGAGATATCGGAGGTATCTCGCTTGTCTAGTTTCAGGACTCTCAACCGATGAGCGTATCGCACAAATCGGGTCCAATCTGTATCAGAGAGAGGCGGACCATGGAGCACCTACACGTCAATCAATACAAAACTATCAAGGACGATTAACGATAAGACGCACTTGAACAGACATGCCATAGGGTTTTGTTAAAGAAGGGAAAAGGGCGTAGAAAGGTTTAAGGGAGTGCATGGTCCGCCACAAGACGTCCAAGGCTGGGTCAACGAAAGATCTCGATGACAGCGCTGCCCACAGCAAGAACTTCTTGGGAGCTGGTTCACCCTCCTCGGTGTCTAAATCGACATCGAAGTGTTGGAAGATGTTTTTGAGAAGATCGACGTTTCGAAGGACCTCATAGACCGAATCAGATCGTTTGATGTTGGCGACCACCCCGCGACCTTCCTCATATGCCGAATCGGATGGTTTGATGTTAGCGACTACCTCGCGACCTTGAGAAGCCCCGAAAGACATGGGTAGGGACAAGCTGGAATATATAGCTCGACTTTGAAATGAAAAGGGCAGGTGCGGGCGCAAAGTAGATTCATCAGTTCACATATTACATAAGAATATATTCAGGCTCCGCACAGTAAAGAAAACAAAAAATTTAAGTCTTGTCAGACTGTCAGTCTCCTCTGTCCACCCACAGCCCAAATTCTAGTACGATGGTTTTTTTCGACGAAAAGGCGTCGATTGTCTCGCCGATTAGACCTACTAATCACACTTCCTGCGGTCCTTCTTACTTTGGGCGCGGACGCTACCTCCTTAGTACCTGCCGTCTACGCTTCTTGATTCCATCTGGCGTGTTAAAAGATTGGCGATGATTGGCTGGTTGGCTCACCGCTACCGGATATAGTCAGTCTTGTCATCATGGCTTGTAGATCCACCCATCTAAACTATGCACATACCAGATTAATCGGAGATGTCACTGGCGCTGAAGCTTGAAGGGTCGTTCATTTTGATTTTCAATAATTTGGTGAGGTGCCAAAGCACACCACCCCCCATAATAAGTGAGTAACAGAACAGTTGCACCCACGTCCCGCACAAGTTGACGCGCAGCCGCGCCTCTAATCCAGGTCCCAATTCTATCGGCCCTCTGTTAAATCTCTACCGTGCAAATTGTACGATTTTGGTAAATTTCCTGTGCCCCGCAGAAACCTACCTGCGCAAGCCCGCAAGCTGCCATGCAAATTTCTGGCCGTCAAGGCGCGGATTGTTCATGATTTCAAGTCACACATCATCTTATAACAGTTCGGAATTAAGTCGTGTTTGTTACCCCCAGCATAAATAGTTACATGATAAAGGTCCTCCACCAAGAATAATAAAAGAACTCGAAAGGGGGTATTATATGGAGAATCGGAAAGGATTAATCATTGTTTAGACCGATTCGGAAGTCTTACTGAATAATTAGGGCTGGACATTTCGAGGCTCTCTTTCGTTTCAGTGCGGATGTCGAGGATGACACGGCAGGTCAGGATAGAGTACATGCCTCGTTCGAACCTGCGAAAATAGGGGTGAGATAAGCTGACGACGAGATGGAGATAAAGAAGAGATTACGTTGAGAGAAGGTTGTGATAGCCATACTAAGGGAGGATGAGTGTGGTACAGACAGTAGGTGAGGGAGAGAACGTACTGGATATATGAGGATGACGTTGATGGCCGACATGACTGGCAGACAGGCAAATTTCAACGCTTTTGACAATGTATAAAAAGGGTAGAGGGACGAACCGAAGAGGTAGAAATAGTAGATCAGTCCGTTGAGGAACACCGCATTTGCGAGTCTCCGATGTGAAGAAGTGGTCATTCTCACTGGTAAAAAATAAATCATCACTTTCAATCACGCTCCCTGAAAGCCAAAAGTGGTACTTACACGCCGGAAGGCCCTTGATCGCGATCAATACCAAAAGCACTGCAACAACGATCGGGTAAGTATCCATGTAAGAAATCAAGTGTTTTCTCACCTAGATCATAAGCCATAACGAACAGCCAACAAGCGAATAACGTCGGGCTGGCGCTGATGTTGAAGCATCCCGCCGATTGATTTCCGGCTCCTTTAGGGGGCGGGATAACTGTGTATGAAAAAATAAGCCATGAATGGTACAACGTAAAAAACCCTCACATGACACGGATTTGAGAAAAACCCCCATGAAAGCGAACACCCCACCAAAGCATACAGCCCAAAGAATTGGTAGGATGATGGTAAGCCTGCGATCTTTACCCCAAATCGCCCACGTTCTCATCGTTAGGAGGACTTTACACAAGGAGTGGTTAATGTGGTGATTGGGGGGGGTGTGGTGGAGGTTATCTTACTTTCGGTGATTGAAATTCCGATTGCGAACATCCCTAGCGTTCGAGATTAGCAAAAAAAAAAAAAAAAGAAGGGGGAGGTGTGAAGATGAAGGGACGTACAGCCGTTGACTGCGAATGTTTTGCGGCAAGCATCTTCTGAGGAACCGTCGAGAAGGATATCTGACGATAAGATGGTGAGAGAGATACGGTAAGCGGTGATGGTTACGAAGCTTACAATACAGAACGGAGATTATGTCGAGGAAGGGCATGTATCGCGTTAATAAATAGAGAACCTTGATCGTGTTCCAGCGGGAGTTCCATATATGCTCGATCTCGAGATCTAGGTTTAATAGGTACTCGTATAACTGATTGGGGTTTTAGTGAGTGTACGTCGTGATGGAAAGGTGGGTGCGCACGAAGAGGCAGACGGCGGCGACTGGGGTGATGTTTCGTTAATACGGCTATCCGAAACTCGGCGAGATTGATCGGAACGAACTGGTTGTGCGCTACCAAGAAGATGTTTTTTTTTCTATGAGATGCTGTTCAGGAAGGGCGGAAGGGAGACGTACGTGACTCGTATTTGCATGGTAAAGGAGCGAGATCAAATTGGCGAGACTGAAAGCGGCCATAGAACAGTGACCACTGAGGAAGAAACGCGAGGGAGATGAACAGATGGAGGGGTGAGCGAAGCGTTGTTAATATATGTGATACCTCGAGCGAGACTCCACCATCATTTTGAAATTCAGATAAATTAAGGGAGCTGGACGTTGCAGATCTGGAATCTATCCTTACCGAGTGTGTTATTCCCATGTGAAAGAGGCTCGGGCCCGGTCTGCACGATGTACTTACTTACTGTAAAGATCGCTAGACTGCTGCTGAGCAGGTGGGAGCCGGCGATCAGCTGCCAAGACGACCGCCGAAGCTCCTGTGGGACCTGGGTCGCGTAGAGCGACCCCTTTCTGTAATGAATGTTTAATTGAGAGATCTGAAATTCAAAGAGTCATGATAAAGCGTGAGGAGCGGAGATTAATCAAGCCTCAAAAAAAGCCACTAACTTGAAGCCAAGTTGCCATTAGATTCATCCAAGTGTCGAGTGGGTAAGGGAAGACGTAACCTGGAAATTCGGAGAGGACTTTTGGACGTGCAGTGTGTGAGATTTGGGAGGTTCCAGATCGACTCCTTGAGAAAGGCGTTATAAATAGGGACTGATTGTGATAGGGGCGCAGATTGGTCATTGCGGAGCAACTGGACTTGGAAGGCGCGACGCCATTTTGCCAATAATAAAACTCAAATAAAACTACTTCAGTTGACGCTTGCAGTTTGTAAACAGCTCACCAGGATGATCGTATGTACCCATTCCAGAACTTGTTCATTTAAGTGGAACTGGAGGAGAAAGGGGGTGGCACAGATTGCGTCCGAGTCACAACTTTCTGTGTGCTTCACCTCGAGGAGGCGAGGCTTGAACAATGAAACTTAATGACCCTCTTCCTTTGCAATGCCATGGTACGTAGTACCATGGTGAGTTCTTGAAGGAGTCGACCTATCAACAAAGTGTTTCTGAGTGCTGTATTTGATTGAAATGGGGGATGTAGCCAAATATTACCTCGCTGATCGCGACTACGGCAAAAAAACGTTTCACGCTAGCAATTACAGCCTAGCAACAACAACTGTCTTTCTCTTCCTCACTTCCTGCCCATCGTCGCTCGCAAGTCCGGCCTTGTTTTCTGCGGGGTTGAACAGGCAAGTGCTGCGCTCATCGATCCCAGGATGATGACATGTCTAAAAGTATTTTTGGCTCCAACAGCCGAACGGCGCCGTTTGTTCGTTCACAAATATCACGCTGCAACCATCCACTTGGTGAGCACTTCTTTCCTTTGATATGACCCTGTCTATCTGACTGGGACGACGGGAAGGATAGAATGAGCCACTCTAGTTGGATTTCCCTTTGAATACGAACTCCGATCTTTATCATCGCCCCCCGTTGACCATTCATCTCCGTTGACGGCGCTCATCGCCCGTTTCACTTCGACTCTGTGATAAGTACGTGGCATCACTCGGGCACTCCACTCGTTACACCACCAATACCAAATGGACCCTACTACAACAACCCCACCACCACCACTGCCCCGTCCCACAAAAGGGCTCAACTTCAAACGCGCCTTCAAATCCGCTGCACGCCTCCCTGTCCCGCGAGGGCTAGGGTTTAAAAGTGGATCGGGGCGCAACAATTTCTCGCCTGCCCCCGGAGAACTCCCCATCGTCATATGCAAGATCCAAATCATCGGATGTACTCAGCTTTTGGCGAAGGACCGGAATGGCGCTAGCGATCCGTGCGTTCTCTTCCTTGTTTCTCCCCTTTTCTCGTAACCAACAAGCTCGTATAGATTCGTCGTCGTTTCGGTTCTGTCGATGCGTCACCAAACCCCCGTCGCTAAACGGACTTTGAACCCCTTGTATAACCCCAAAGACGCGACGTTCGAGTTTCCCCTCTACCTCTCCCTTGCTGACAAGCTCGTTGGCGTGGAGTTGGTGGTATGGGATAAGGACATGTTATCGAAGGAGTACCTAGGCGAGGTGGCTTTGTCACTGGAATCGTGGTTTAGAGGCGAGGGCGAGGAGAACGTTTTGGGGTTTGATGAGCCTGGAAATAAGGTTCGTCGTGAACTTCATATGTGCTTTGGCTTGGCTCACGGGGAGATACTCGATAGCCTTTTTCTGTCGACCTGTTGTCGACGCGACCCAATACACCTGCTACGGGTAGCATTCAGCTCAAGATTGGGTTTGTCCCTCCCCATGGAACCCATAACCTTTTAGAGTATGATGAGATTTATGGAGAGTTCGTTAAGCGCTCTAGGCCTTCGTTGGTCTCGGCTCCTGCTGTACGATCTTATCCTTGTTCCTTCCTTCCCAGCTGACGTACCTGATTTTTCAGACTGAAGGCGTCGGCACCATCCGCTCGCATCACGCCAACGGGAACCAATACGCTTTTCAAGATGACGGAGGGCTCTCTTCAGACGACGAAGATGATGAAGAGGAGGGTGAAGATGAATTCGTTGATGCTCACGAAGATCATGCCGCGATTATCAACCTCCCTCTCACCGAGCTATACACACCACCAACACCAACGGAATTACCACCCCTTGTCACCGCTACGGGTATCATCAGGCCGCCCCCACCTGAACTCGTCATTCAGCCTAGTTCTCCCGGTGGTAGTACGACGCCTACGCACAGCGCAGCCCTCAAAACGGCCACTCCGCTGGCGCAGCCGACGCCAAAAGCGACGAGCGGTGGTGGGTTCATGCCCAAGATGAAGTTTACGAGGAAGATATCGGGGCTTACTGGGATTGGCGGTGGTGGTGGTGAGGGGCCTCGGTCTCGATCAAGGAGTTCATCGCCTGTTCCTCGGCCTCCTGCTTCCCCTGTGCTTTCTTCGCCTGGGGTTGATGGAGGGGATGTGGTTGGGAAGAAGAAGAAGAGGTTTAGTCGGAAGAGTAGTGAGGCGTACAAGTTTGGGTCGGAGGCTAATGATGTTGTGGGGATTGTTATGCTTGAGATACAGGGTGCTGTTGATTTGCCGAGGTTTAAGAATAGTGAGTCGTCCCTTCTTCTTTCTACTCGTCTTGGTGTTGTTACTAACTTAAATGCCTAGTGACGCGAACAGGATGGGACATGGACCCCTTCGTCGTCGTCTCCTTCGGCAAAAAGGTGTTTAGAACACGCGTTATAAGACACTCGCGTAACCCCGTATGGGACGAGAAGCTGTTATTCCACGTTCGGCGATACGAGACGTCGTTCAAGGTTAATCTTGCGATATTGGATTGGGATAAGCTTTCGTCGAATGATTATGTGGGCGATGTGAGTTTTGATGTTGGCGGGTTGGTGGAGAGTGCGCCGCAGCCTGATCCTGTGACGGGGTTATATGCCGTTGATGAGGGGGGAGATCATCCTATGGTGGATTATAAGCTGCCGTTGGTGGGGAGTTCGTCTTGGGAGGGAAAGTATAGTCCTGTTTTGAGCTTTCGGTAAGTTTTTTCCTTCATTCTTACCTTTTAACATACTCACTCACTCGCATTTTTCGCGCATAGAGCGAAATACCAACCCTACGACGCCCTAAGACAACGGTTCTGGCGACAATACCTAAAACAATACGATACAGACGACACCGGTGCCCTCTCCCACCTCGAACTAACATCCATGCTCGATTCGCTCGGGTCAACGCTCACCCGATCCACCGTCTCCTCATTCTTCACGAGGAACGGAAAAAAGGCGGAGAGTGATGAATTAAGTTTCGAAGAGGCTATCAAGTGTTTGGAGGATGAGCTTGGGAGGCCGGTGGAGGAGAAACGGAGGGTGGACGTTGATGCTGGGGAGAGTTGTGTGCCTACGCCTGTGTTGATGGTTGCGTCCGTTGCTGATGGGCAGGGGAGGGAGTTGAAGCTTGAGGAGATGGATTTTTCAAAGGATCAGATTGGTGTGGGGGAGTCGGGGGATGATACTTCTGATGATCCGCTGTCGTCTTCGGGTGGGAGTGGAAGTGTGGGGACGCTCTTGCCGCCTGAGGAAAAGAAGAAGAAGAAGAGTCGGTTCAGGAAATCGTCGGCTTCCTCCTCTAGCGATCAAGCGAACAAGAAAAAGTCGAACGGAAAGCCGAAGAAGAGTAATGGTGGGAGTAAAGACGATAACAGCGAACTCGAATCTGATCAAGATTCTGTGGAGAGGGTTATCAACGTGAAGAGTTGTCCTTTATGCCATCGACCACGGATGAACTCTAAAGCGGAGATGGATATTATCACGCACCTCGCGGTGTGTGCCAGCCGGGATTGGAGTTCGGTTGATAAGATTGTCGTGGGGAATTTCGTTACGGCTAGTCAGGCGCAGAGGAAGTGGTATACGAGGGTTATTGGGAAGATATCGAATGGGGATTATAAGCTTGGTGCGGTATGTTCTTTGTTTCTTTTTCGCTTGATATGTTGGGTAGAGCTGATTGGTTTTTTGGGGCGTAGAATTCCGCAAATATCATTGTGCAGAATCGTATTACGGGACAGTTGGAGGAGGAGAAGATGCAGGTTTATGTTCGGCTTGGGATTCGGTTGCTGTACAAGGTTTGTTTCATGTCTCCCATTCAACGCAGGCTGATGGGCTTTGGAATGTAATAGGGCGCTTCAAGTCGGATGGAGGGCGCTCGGGGTACGTTACTTCCTTTCGGGTGGGTATTGTTCTTGCTGATCACCATACAGCCCGCCGTCTCTTAAAGTCACTATCTATCAAGCAAGGTGTCAAGTACGACGCGCCCGAGTCGGCTCGTGAGATTCCGGTGTTCATCGAGTTCCATAAGCTCAATGTCGGTGAGATCGAGGATCCCCTGGATTCTTTTAGTGAGTGGATAGTTTGTTGCCGAGAGTTATGTTAACGTTGTTGTATTGTAGAAACTTTCAATCAGTTCTTCTACAGGTACGTTATCCTTCTTCTGGATGTCCCCCATATCTCATCTCTTTCGGTCTACAGGAAACTCAAATCCTCCGCTCGTCCAGTAGAGTCCTTAGACAACCCATACCGCCTCGTCAGCGGTGCCGACTGTCGCATGATGGCATTCGAGACCGTCAGCGAAGCTACGCGCTTGTGGATCAAAGGCCGCGAATTCACCGTTGCCCGTCTACTCGGTGAAAACTATAAACACGAGGCGGAACGGTATACCGGTGGTGCACTAGCCATCTTCCGCTTGGCACCCCAGGATTATCATCGGTTCCATACACCTGTAGAGGGGACTATTGGGAATATGACGGACATTGCGGGGGAGTATTATACCGTTAACGTTAGTACCCCCTGTCTTTTTCTTTGAGTATTGGGTGCTGATGAGGTCGTTGGTAGCCTCAAGCTATCCGTACTGCGCTCGACGTCTACGGCGAGAACGTACGCAAGATCGTCCCTATTGACAGTCCCCATTTTGGGCGCGTCATGGCCGTGTGCGTTGGGGCTATGATGGTTGGGTCCATTAAGACTACGGTTGAGGAAGGTCAATACGTACAGCGTGGTGATGAGTTTGGGTATTTCGCTTTTGGTATGGTATCTCTCCTGTCATCCCGGATCGTCTTTGACGTATCGTTTCTAGGTGGGTCTACAATTGTGGTGCTTTTCGAAAAGGGAAAAGTGGAATGGGACGAGGATCTTTTGATCAATGGTCGGGCTTCTTTGGAAACTTTGGTTCGTGTTGGGATGGGAATTGGGAAAGGTCGTCCTGCTGTTGCGGGTGCTGTTTGAGTGGTGTTGTTACCCCAGAGTTTTTGGACAAGTGAAAGGATAATCTAAATGTGCTATAGTTTTCGTTCTGGTTTCTTATTATATTATAAAGTTAACTTTTGTCCACAAACATCCAAAGGCAATTCAGCCGTCCTGCATAAAGGAGAAGAATGCTATAAAATCCGTATCAACCCGTAACCCTCCTAACTGCTCTGATACCCGTCCGCCCACCCTCAACCACTCGCCCCACACACCAATGCGCGCCATAAACCAAAAACTGCAGGGACATAACCACCCCTACCATGAAACAAACAGCGATCACACCTTCCGGCCAGGCGTCGAAAGCCACCAGCCCGAGGAAGAGCATGAGGGAGAGGGCGGAGATGAACATGCAGAGACCTGGGACACGCGCTGAGAGGGAGAAGAAGAAGTAAGAGCCGTATACGTCCCGTGCACGGGCCTGGACAAGGAAGGGTTAGAAAAGACAGCTGCGTAGGATTAGGGGACGTACAATGAATGTCTGTAGGTCTGCCCAGTTGTACCTTAAAAGAAACCAGGCGTCGCATGCGATGCCGAGACCAGATGTGATGCTGCTCGTAGCAATAGCGCTCCGAGCGTAGGAGTTGACGCCAAATAGTGAATCTGGGGAGATGGAGAATACGGCTGTATCGACACTGAGGTAGGTGACATTAGCAACTCCTTTTGAGACTGAAGTCAAATGTACTTACGCCGCTAGTGCGACTAGCTGTATGAAGAGATCGGGTAAGAATGGAATCAGGGATGGAACGATGAGAAAAGTACCCACCAAACCTCCCATATAAGTCCACTCCATCTGTAACCGCGCGAACACCTTGTCATATTCCGAGTCCATAGTAGCCTCCTTCAGTTCGCTGTACATCGTAAACGACGCCAGCACTCTCCCCGTCAGCGATAGCGGCCGAGGTTCCAAAACCTCAATCTTCTCCGTGTATTTGGGTAAGAGTGACGCTGATATCCAACCCCAGCTGCTCTTAGGATGTGAAGGTTGATTTCGAGGCGAGTCGTCGTCGGATGAGTTCCAGTATGTTTGTTGGGGAAAGTCTTCGGGGTCGGAAAAGAGGGGAAGGGGTTTGCGTTCTTCGATTTCTTCTCCGTCGCTGGAGAACACTTCTTCATCGGAGCCGAGAGCGTATCCGCGAACCCTCCGGCGTCGCAGGATGGAGGGCTGTGGAGGTTTTGGTTCGTCGTCGATAGGTGATGGTGGGATTAGAGTGCTGGATGCTCGTGATGCTGCGAGTAAAGCTATCAGTAGGAGGACAAGGTTGCACAAGTGAAAGACTTACAGGAGCTCGCGTCGGATGAATATCCAGTGTCAGACGGACAGAGTAAGGGCGGTGAAGTCAACGGTGCCATTGGTGGTCTTACCCTCAGATGCATGAGTGCCCCATTCTGAGGTTTTCCTCGACTGGAAATAGCTCGATTGGAAGCTGACTGGCAGTGAAGCCTGATCTCCAGTCCTACGTAAGTCAGAGGAGTTTGGGTCAACCTTTCAAAGTACCACTCACGAGGTTCCGTTTCCTGCTTCTTCAAAAGTTCGCCTAGAGAATGTGTAGAGGAAGCGACCAGATTCCGTTTCTTCCCCTTCTTCTTGCTCTGCGAACGATGCCATATTTTGAAGTCAACCCGTGACGACATATCTGCTTGGTGACTGTTCGAAGTGGAGATCAGGACTTCAGGGTTTCGTGACAGAAGGGAAACGGACCCACAATCGGAATGTCTCCTTCAAATTGGGATTTTGTCCATCAACTCCCAAGACCGTTTCGTGAGAGTCGTGCTTGTCGACTTCGACAGTGACGATGGGGCGCCAAGACTTCTCCGGGCGCATAAGCCGGAGACCTTGAGTCCGTATAACTGAGAGTGGAATCAGATCACGTTGAAAGGCCTAGTCATTTCTTGTGACACACCAGTCAATTGCCATGGCCTGGGGGTGAAGTCGTCAGAATATGTCGTCGCTTGAGAATGATTGTTGACATACTCTTTTCTTTCCATGCCTATTTGTCGGAGAATTGAGGCAAAGTTTCTGAGTCAAAGGACGTGGTTGAAGGGAGGTGGGCAATGTTACTGGCGATGATGAAGAGCGCTGGGCAACGCTGACGGTGATGCGAGGCGGTGCCTCATGGTGATTGTGACCAGAGAATGTCACTTGATCTTTCCTAACCCGCTCACACACTGTCTATGTTCAACTGATGTTCACCTCTACCTGGCCAACTTGTGGAAACGATGCAACACTCGGTGTATATAACCTACCCCATCCAACTCCTGAACGCCGAGGCCGGAGGTTTGAATCGTCAATAAAAGTTTTCCACATCAAGACGCCAAATTTTCGTCGGAACGAAACTCGAGCATTTACTTTATCCACCGTCTTTACCCCAAAAATTTCAAGAAGAATGATCTGACTCAGTGCGTTCAAACATCAATGTCCAGCTGGAATCTAATTCTCTAAAACTTTAGTTCGACCATTGCTGTCAACGAAAGACTATTCTTGGGGCCAGCGGAAGGAATAAAACGACATTATGCCGTTTTCTTCGCGTTGGATTTTAGTGAACGCTTCACTTGAAAAAAAGAAACTCATACCTCTACAGGAACAGTGTCTTGAAATGCGCTCGCTTGGATGTTGTACAATTTCGCGTATTCACCTTCGATTTGCATCAGCTCAGTATGTGTCCCCATTTCGGCAATTCCACCATCTTTCATACATCTAGAATGTTTCGTCGTTAATCATTCTCTGCGCCGAAAAAAAGGTTATCGGAGAGACGAACATGATCTTATCGGCATATTTGGTCAGGTGTCCAAAGCGGTGGGTCACGAAGATCATTGTCTTCCCAGACCGCACCTTAATGATTTCTTCAAAAAGCCGGAGTTCACCTTCTGCGTCAAGGGCGGAGCTCGGTTCATCCACTGCGACAAACTTTATTTTATCGGATTGGAAGCGCATGAAAGACCGAGCACTACGAAAAAAATTAGTTGATCCAAAGTTTGACTTTGTTGAAGAACTTACGCTACGACTCGCTGTCGTTCACCTCCAGAGATGTCAGTTTCCCTCTCCAATTCTTCAAGTTCCTTTTGCAAAGGATGATCTTTATACTCCTTGAGATTAAAGGAGAAATGCATCGTGGGAGGTTTCAACTGCGTTTCAAGACCGTTCACAAGCTTTTTGATGAATTCCGAAGCGCCTCCTTGTTGTGCCGCTCTTTCAACCATCTCCTTATTCGCACACTGGTCGGGGAATCCTACGCCGATGTTTTCGGATAGGGAAAGTGGGTAAATCTTAGTATCTTGACTCAAGATGGCGATTGATTCATGGAGGTCAGCTAACCGATATTCATTGGCGTTCTTTCCGTCGATGAGCAGTTCCCCAGAGACGGGATTGTAGAGACGCGAAAGTAAGCGAATGATCGTGGATTTGCCGCTTCCGTTTGCACCTACGACGACGACGAGCTGACCTGCACCGATCGAGAGGTTTACGTTCGTGAGAGCGCCTATAGCTTTCTGGCTTCCTGGGTACGCAAAACACACGTCGCTATTGAGGGAGAAGAAGCCATCGTCAAAAGGCGTTTTTGGATTTGCATTGTAAGTGTTCTTACCGAAGTTCGAACTCCATGCCCTTCTGCTTGTCGGCGTGTTGAAGGGGATAAGACAGGTGTCCATCCGAAACCTTGTTACTGATATTCGACGCGCTGTAGACGTTTTTTATGGTATTAATGCTCCTTCTATAAGATTCACTTTCTCGAAGGACGCCTTCCAGGGACCAGCTTAATGTGATGGACGATTGCTGTAAGATGGCAACTGATGCTATGGAGAATTTGGAAGGAGTAATAATGGCGGTGATCGCGCAATATACCTCAAAATCGAGTCAGTATGACCATCATTAACATTGTGGACACCTCACCATAGGTAGAGACGATAAGACGTAATATACAACGTCGAAAACGGGCATGTCCCGAACGGAAAACGCATAAAAAGGGTGTGTGTCCAGCTTGTCTCCTCGAGCTCTGGATGCCTTTTTGTACTCTGACAAAAATCTTTTAGAGAAAAAATCGGGCAGTGAGGCATCTCGGAAACGTACCGGTGAGAATCCAATTTGATAAATTGCCGCTGAAGACTTGCTCTTTATATTGGTCTTCGTTGGCCAAGTTCTCTAGTGATTTCATTCGAGTATGATCTTGGTCATTCCAGAACGCAATACAAGCTATCAAGTCCATCATTAGACGATGAGAATCATTTTTAAAACATGAAGCATTCACTCTTATCCCACAGTGCTTGCGCAAAAAGTGCAGAGAACAAAGGCCTCGCGATGCACATCAACGCAAAGAGAGGCCCTCCAGCAGATCGGGAAATATGCACGATCAACGCAAGCTGGCTCGTCGTCTTCAAAAGCTGCGTGAAAAATCTGATCAAAGTATCAACGGCTTGCCAAATTTCTCGAGATGAAGTTTGCTTTTTGCTCCCAGGTTCTGTAAAGCAATTAAGTGCGATAGGCCAGGATGACAAAATAAAGTATGTGTAAACCTCTAGATGTTGGAAGATCCATATCAAGCGTGGCTATTCTCCAGGTCAACTTTGGGCAGGACGTCGATCAAACAGCTCACCTTTCATCAAGTGCACATCAAAATGTACCGTAATACGGGCCTGAAGGACCATCATCATCCTCGTGCTATTTTCTCGTAAGCCCTATAAAATCAACCTGGTGGACGCACTCCTACCTCCACCATGTCATCAAACCGGCAATTACAGACCAGACAAGATGCGCTACGACCACGGACAAGATGGAAGCGACATTGGGACGACCCTCGCGAAGACTATACTCAATCTTTTCAACACATATGAGAACCATTGCACGACATTGAAGAAGATAGCGGGAATACAAACAGTTCTCAGAAGGCGATTCGAGATCTGCATCTCCAAAGCGTTTTCGACCCCTTCCCAAATTTGGCATGCGACGATGGCAAGAACTATGCCTGGTGCGAGGGTAAAGATATCCTTTGCAAGTCTCAGAAGAATAGGGAAGGAAGAACGAAGGTCTCGTATTTGATCTTGCAGGCCAAAACCTGAGGAATGTGCCGCAACCCTGACCTTCCAGATGCCGAGCTGTAGAGTAGAGATCTTGATTTTGGAGTTGGTGTGAAGAGGTTTCTTTTCTGAGTCGGATGTAAATTTTGAATTCATTGGAGACGGAAACAGGATAAGAAATCGAGGACAGCAAATGCCTTTTGAAGTCGGGCTTTATAGTATGCCCCCAACCCGAACATAACGGAGCCGCAGGGCTAACGGATCTTGAGCGCTGAGTGGCAGTGAGTCCTTATCAATATTATCTGTCAACGTTTGACAATTTCAGGGCGATACATATCTTCGTCACGAATCTTCTTCGCTGTCTGAACCTGTCTGAACATCCTTCCGGATGGGGTCGCATGCCAAGTGCTAGCCGCTAGCGTTAGATTTGGAGCATCCAAGTAGCATCCTGATCTAAGAATTAATGGGATGATCGACCTTACCGCCACCGCTGATATCGGTGAAGCAGTGGGTCAGGCTGTGCACAGCTGTGTAAATGACTCAAATAAAAGCTTCAGGGATCCAAGGTCCGCTTCCGGTGATGCACTCTGACGATGATGACAAAATTCGAAAATTTGAGTCAGGACTCAGGGTCATGTACAGTTGAGTGCAAAAAGAATGAAGGTTGGTTCATTTTTCTGGTTCTTTCTAAGAATCTATTGTACCTCAAATGTATTTGTGTATTCTTTTACATTATGTAGTTGTATTACACTTCCCTTGGTATGGACTAATTTCAGTGAAAGCTGGGGCCTTGAGAAGGTTTTTATTCTGGAGGCCATTTTTGGCATCTGAAAAAAAAAATATGTGCTAACTGGAGAGGTAGCCAGAGCATACCTCTGGTCAACCTGAATGAGCCTATCAAAGAATTAGTCAAAAATACTGGGTGGTTAGGTCTGTAGAGGCTTTGGAAAATGGCTTGTTTTGTCTAAAACAGGCCAAAAATGACCAAAATAGCACAAAATGTCCATTTTCTGGAGGCTCTACAAGCATAACCACTCAGTATTTTTAACTAATTCTTTGATAGGCTCATTCAGGTTGACCAGAGGTATGTTCTGGCTACCTCTCCAGTTAGTGCATATTTTTTTTTTCAGATGCCAAAAATGGCCTCCAGAATAAAAACCTTCTCAAGGCCCCAGCTTTCACTGAAATTAGTCCATACCAAGGGAAGTGTAACACAAACATAATGTAAAAGAATAACCAAATACATTTGAGGTACAATAGACTCTTAGAAAGAACTAGAAAAATGAACCAACCTTCATTCTTTTTGCACTCAACTGTATATTAGGGGTGTTCACGGTTCTCATTTTTGATCTCATTTTTTATTTTGTTTTTCAGAAAAACGAGATGAAAAACGGAGCCAGAAATGAGACCAAAAAAGACCCAAAAAGACGATTTTTCGAAAAACAGGTTGCTCCGTTTTTGATGTTTTTCCATTTTTCATTCCATTTTTCATCCATTTTTCGTCTTCGGTTTTCAAGTTGCCAAAGGGCGTTTTGGCGTTGTCCGTTCTTTTCGTTCTTTCCTGATATGGCAAACACACCACCAATCACACTACAGAACAAGCAAAAAAATTAAGATGAAGTAGTTTTAATAGACTGAAGACCAATTAGTGAAGACTCACAGAAGAATTGAGGTGGACAGAATCCGACAGTTGAATGAGCGATAAGATAAGACGGGGTCTGCAACAAGATGTGGATTTCAATGCTGCCGGGGTGCCGGAAAATGTGCTGTTTGTTCATTTTTGATCTCATTTTTGAAAATTTTGAGGGGGTAGGGTTCACAGTTCTCAGTTTTGGGTTCAATTTTCATTTCATTTTTGATGTTCTACATCTACAAAAATGGACGAAGAGTAAATGAAAAATGGATCAAAAATGAGAACCATGAGCACCCCTATTGTATGTATAGCACTCTCGGGTTTTAGAATTGTTCGCTTTCAATGGTCAACAATTTTTTTTCATGGTGGGAACCGTAAATACCAACTTCTGGAGGTTGGAATTGAAAGCGATGATGTCAATTGCTTGAATCTACGTGCAATCATGAGATATTGGGGGGCGAGAAATATTATGTAGCATTCAAGAAATGATCCATGAGCGCTTGATCCCAACTTCACTCCAACTGCATTTTTAAGATGCCTTGGGAAGCATCGTAAACCCAATTGTTCGAAAAATACATAATCAAAAGGAGTACCATAGGTAAAGTTTTCGACCCAAAATCAGTAAGAATTGTAAAGTTCGTTTGAAGCACGAAATTTTCAGAAAGCTCACAGCATTACCAGCACATGCATAAACCCAGCACTGAAGAGGTGACAGACCAATGGTAAACTTCTGTGCAAGCATGAAAGTTTGGAGCTGGATCGTGTTGTATCGCGGGTTTTTATTGTTGTTCGTTTTCCCAATGATCCCATTAAATTCATGAGGAGATACGATGAGGTGGAATCAGGCAACAGGTTGTTTTTGTGCATGACAACCGTTCAAGTGGACAGGGGGGTAGCCGTGGAAAGTCAATCATTTTCCTTTATCATGTTTATATTATTCCAGGGAGCTCTGATTGATCTGAGCATTGATTCCAGCCTTGAAATTAAGGCAATTCAAAGGCAATCCGAAATTTCAATCCTCAACAAACTTCATAACTGGCCTTTGGACGTTCTTGTTGTATCATTGCAGCTGAAATATTTGTTGACTCGGAATTACATAAGGTGGAGCTGATAACATTCCGATCATTCCAACTGAAAGGTTCCGACCTACAAATTGTTCAAAACTACTCTTCCTCAAATTTTATTTCAAGAACCTTTTCCTCTATCACATGGCCCAGAGCTTCCGTCGTTCCATTCCTGCCCATGTCTGGGGTGAGCAAGTCTGATTCACCCTTCAGCTGAGCATTCTTCGCCTCCTGCAGAACCTTTTCAATCGCCCCCATCAGTGCTTGCACTGCTTCCTTTTCCACTTCAGGCCTGATGCTTCTGAGTGACAGAAGGCCTCAGAGGCCAATTCTTTTGATGGTGGTAATTGGCCTCTGGGGCCATTTCCGCTCTATCACTGCGCTTCTAAATCCAAATTTGGTTGCTTCTTTCATTAACATCTAAAAATAGTTCGAGCATGAAGGTGACACTGCCGGCCGCTAGCGACGAAAGCGCTAGCTCTTGCCGCCACCGCCAATAGCCAGGATTCCTTGCACCCTTTCCTCCTGCTCAGCTTGTGCGCCCCTTTCAAATATTTTTTGGTTCATCTACTAGTCTCCTAGACCAGCTACGTAGGATCCAAACTATAAGAGATTTTCGCGGCGAAACCCCCTCAAAAACCTCAGCAAGGGCTGACATTACTGCATTCCTCCTCACCTCCTGACTCAATGTACGAAACCTGGATTACATTAAATCCATGGTCAACCCACCCCCGTCGTCATTGGCAATGTATTTCGTAACTGAATGTTCAAGAAAATGTCGAACATTTGTTCTGTTTCAGTGCTTTTTGTGCTTCGCTAGCAGCCCCTCACGTCCTATAATATTTATTGACTGTAGTAGTATAATTATAAGTTGAAGAGAAAGGATCAATAGCAATTGGATTTCACTCGAGCCTTGAGTCATGAATTTTCAACTTGAAACCACGGCTCTATTACTCGCCACAATAGAAATTGGCACTATCAAGCTCGGAAAGCTCGGAATTTGGAGCTGCGAGGGATGGAATATGAGGCTTGTTGGAAGGATAAATGCACTTCAAGTGTATGCTGAAATAGAGACAGCCTACAGGACGGAAAGGAGATGCATTATGGGGTTGGTTGTGGAATGACTCACGTGGCCCACTCTAGATTATGATTTTTGATTTTTACTTGCAATCTGTGCTTCTCCAAATACCTTTCGACATATCCAAAAATTTCCAGTTTTGTTCCTATAAAATTCACAACAGGGGAAAGACTTTCATCATTGTCATTAAACCTCCTTTATTTGTGTGTTTTCTACTTCAACCTAAACGAGAAAATTATGAATATTGGTAGTTATGTAGCTCAAAGTGTGAAGAATAGCTCTACCAAATTAATTTTAAGATGGCGTGAGGGAGCAGTCCAAGCGAGTCACATCTTGAGTAAAGGTCAGACAAGACCAAAGCCATCGAAGGTTGCCAAACATTATCATCGTAAGGACAGTAAAAACACTTTCACCCTACAGCCCCACACCTTTGTAAAATTCATCCTAAACCAAAGTGACCTTGACCCCAGATTGACCCTATATCTCTACGAGGCTAACATCGATGTTGTTCAAGGGATATGAACAGCTTTCATGTTTATTTTTATCCACATAGCACTGAAGTCTCCACTTCGTCATTTCCACAAATTTGTATTCCACATCCAGTTGTACTACAGAACAGAAATACAAGGAATACAAATCATAAGTGGTATATTGACATCCACCTAAAATCTATATATTCTCAAGGAGAGGGCTTAAAACGGGGGAGAAGGGAAGTTATTGAGGGAGAGATATCGGTATGAGGAATCCTCAGTCACGAACTTCAACTTGCCATGCATTCCTTCCATATGGAGTGTAACGTAGACTTCCAAAACGTAGTCGAGGAGAGGGATAGTGGTGTATAGCTCAAGTAGGGGGTAGAGATTGTGACAGGAATTGGGTCATGATTCTCCAACTGCTGTACATACATTGTAATGAAAGCTTACAGTTTAGATCATGGCAAACGGTACTCACAATTTCGAAAAACCCTCTCACAAACTTCCCCGGCAAATGTTCTCCTGAAGTGTTTAGCCGCTTGCATGGAGCATCGTGATGGATGGTCGGATGATGCATCGAGCTGTTGTTCCCGTCATAATTCGGTGTGTATAACCGTATAAGTATGGTTAGTCTGTAATAGTTAAGCAACCCGTGAATACCGCATGATGTGGAGACTCGGAATAGCTGGATGGAGGGGAGGTTGGAGAAAACAGATCAGCCAATCCAATCTATAGCACGAAGGTATGGGTCGCCTCCCAAAGCTTTGTGAGATGATTGTTAGTACTCACCTGCCCGAGTACCCAAGAGGAATTTGACTAAACCCATCTTGTCGACCTTTTCCCAGCGTTCATGGGTGTACGCCATTGTTGGGTGCATAGCACCAGTAAACACTCATGGGACAGAAACGTGAAGCGCTATGATAAAGGTTGTGCATGGGTCTCCTAGAGTCTGGTTATCTTGACAAAGACATGGCACCGGTACCCACCTTACCATACTCATTTCTGCCACCCCTTCCACAATGTTCATAGGTAAACAGGTCCACATCGTTGTCATTGAGCGCATCAGGCAATTGGACGCTTCAGATATGGTGGATCTTGCCATCCAACGACCTTTGTGTAAGGTGAACCGATGATGCTGGCATAGAGGATAGACAACAGTTGAAATGGAGCGACGGGGGTTATCACGGTCAGTGAGAGGAATGAAAGCTACAGAATATTGCGATCTGTCAGCGATCTCGATCTGATGCAGGAGTATAAATAGCTATCAGCGCCATCAGTGCCCGGAAGACCCCCCTCTCAGGCCAATTACCCCCAGACAAAGAAATGGCCTCTGAGGGCCAAGAAGCACATCAAGGTGCTAGGCCCAAGGTGTCCTTTTTGCCCAACCACTCTAGCATCATCTGCCCTGCCCAGATCATTCCCACTGGATTCGTAATTCCTTGCCCAGCTATATCTGGAGCACTTCCGTGCACTGGTTCAAAGAGACTCGGCATCCACTCTTTGTCTGGGTCACCTTGGCTGGAAGAAGGGTTCAAATTTGCAGAAGGCGCGATTCCCATCGTTCCCATGCAAGCGGGACCAAGGTAAAATAGAATATCACCAAAGAAGTTGGAGCCGACGACGACATCAAAGATGTGTGGATGTTGGATAAAATGGGCGCACATAATATCAATGTGGTATTTCTCCACTGTTATATCTGGATACTCCTTTGTGATGGCCTCTACATGCTCGTCCCAGTATGGCATGGTAACAGATATGCCATTAGATTTGGTGGCCGACACCAGTTTCTTTTCTGGGCGACTGTGCGCTAGTTCAAATACATATTGCAGAACACGATCTACACCCGTTCTTGTGAACACCGTATTCTGGATGACTGTCTCTCTCTCCGTTCCTTCGAAAATACGACCTCCAATAGAACTGTACTCTCCTTCTGTATTCTCCCTAACTGTAATGAAGTTAATGGGATTTCTCTCGCGGTTAGCTAGGGGAGAGGTAACACCAGGGAGGAGGCAACACAGCCAAAGATTGATATACTGGTCAAATTCGCGACGGAACAACAGGAGGCTTTCCCACAGAGAGATGTGGTCAGGTACAGTATCTGGGTTGTCAAACTGATGCGACCGAAGTGAGTTTTCTGTTTTATTCCCAACATGACCACCATACCTGCTCCAAAATAAATCGCATCACAGGCTTGCAGAAGCTTCTTCCAGTCCGGCGGCAGCATCGTTCCGTGCTCGTGAAAGTAGATGCATGACGCCCAGAGATAGTGGCCAAATTCTAATTGAAACCCAAACCTCTTCGCAGCTAGCTGCTTCCAAACAACACAAGGCAGGTGGTGGCACTTCTAAACCTATTCCATCTCCAGGTATGACGGCGATGACATATAAGCGTTGGGTGGTCATGGTTGTTGGGAGAGAGATGTTCTCTGATTGCGGAAACCTCATCAGGAAAAACTAAAACTCACAATTGTGCACAATTCAGCTGCTCAAACATGTTGTGCACAATTGTTGGTAAATTCTTCTCAATTCTTCTCAATCGGAAATGGAGATGTCGATTGTGCACAATCATTGATAAATTCCTGTCAATTCTTCTCAATCAAAAAATCAAAATTTGGATTGTTCACTCTTGTCCTGAAAAGTGTTAAAACCCCATTTGCTTAATATCTATGGGTATGTCAATTCAATCGATTTTATTACTAACATTTGAGGTTCTATATAAATTAACTACAGAGACACAGAAACAGTACAGTGTTGTCAATAGCGGTGGAGGACATGCAGTGTATGGGTGTTAATCATGTCAGTGACAATGGAGTTGGCTCATGTCGACAGTGGAATATACAATGGGTCCCCAAGCCCCATTGACGACAGTAAACGAAGGCGTAAGCGTTGTCAATGGCTGCATCATCGGGGCTGTATGTGGATCAATGGCGGTGAGACCAGTGGCAGATGGACCATGGAAACGGCAGCAGCCGAGGTGGACATCGTGGGGAAGCATGTCAACTGTGGGCAGGGCACCTTCGTGAAGAAGCAAAGTGTGCCTGCAATATTACAGGTAGTGGTGGTCAGCACTATTAGTTGGGCACAATAGGTTGGGGTACTCACCTTCGTTGCAGTCCTCCCCATTGGCTCACAATGGGTACGTTGATACTGATACCGTTTCCATGGTGCTCGCAATCCTGGTAGAGCCCATTGATCTTGAGATTTGGTGGCCACGTCCTATTCATGACGGTGTTTGTCAGAACACATGGGTGGTCATGGTTATGGAATGCACACACATAGGGAGTGGTGGTTGCAGAATGACAGTAGATTTTTTCAAAAATGTGCAAGTCAGTTCAAATTCCGATACACGTGATGTTGTTGATTGTTGAACTGTGAGAAATCTACAACTTCGTCTTTCCCTTTCCCCCCTCCCACCATCTCACCACTCTTTGCGACCGCTGCCTTGCATCGCCAGTGCAACAACATTTAGGGCCATGTCAGCTAAATGGGTGTCGACGGCGCATGGAGAAGATGACATGGCACGTCCCGCTTCCCTCTGGATGTGCGAAGTCGTCTACACAGCAACGACACATACCGTCATCACCGTCCACAATAGCACAGGTGAGCACATCACATCGTAAGCCCTACATTCCCCCATCTTTCTCCTCCGCTAATTGCCACAAACCGCTCAGCGGCTATTGTAACACCCGCCAACTACCGCCACGTCACTGCGTGAGCACATAATGTCGTAAGCCATACAGTCCCCCGTCTTTCTAATTGTTAATTACCACAAATCGCCCAGCGGCCATCGTAATGCCCGTCAACCACTGCCTTGCCCCTCTGCCGCATTGGCCGATGACGACGTGATATGATGATGACAACAACACCGTTCAATGGGCATGATACAATGAAAACTCTGGTACATAGTCTAGGTATGTATTCCTCTCCCTCTCCCTTGTAAACCTGCCTGATGCAACAAAAGCTAGGTGATCAACTTAACGTGCTCCATCAATTGTGCAACAGGGCATATCTACGTCCCCCCTCTGTCCTCACAGGCTCCTCCAGGTACAATCAACGACATCGCCTTGCTTATGCGCCGTTCTCCTGCGGATGAAATGAATGGGCTGCGAAATGGTGTCAGTGACAGTCGATCAAGGCCAAAGAGGAGGGGGATGCATTTGAGATAAGGCAATTTAGGAAGGAACGTGAGGGGGTTGCGAAGGAACATGCTAGCAAGAGATTCTTTTGGCTTTTGTTTCACATAGTTTATACTGTATAGTCACTTACCATGCAATACAATCTGTCAACTTGAACTCTCGTCTGTTATGTCTGATTGTGTGAAAAAGAGGATTCATTCAATGGTACAATATGTTAAATGAACGGCCAATTGCACGCTAGGCATCATCAATTAAGCACAATTAAACGGTGCCCGTTTTATTTCACTCAATCCTGTCAATTCTCTCAAAAGTCTCAATCCTGTCATTTGTGCGTAATTTACAGTCAATTCTGTATAAATCATGTAAATTATGGTTAATTCAGAGTCTCGAGATTTCCTGATGCTTATCTCGGGCCAGCGATCATTGGTGAGGTGACGACAGCCCAATGTATGTGCGGAAAGTCTGTCAAGATGTGCTATAGCAGGACGTATTTTCTAAGCAAGGTGGAGCACCCCTCGCCCAGTGACAACCTTCATTTGGGTAATTGACTCCATTCTGATCGCCCCAGTGTCCATATGTCGCTTTTCTTTCTCTTTGCCTCTTCAAAAAATCACTCAAATTCCTTGCAAATTCCACCAATGCATCTCCTGATTTCTCTGTGTTTGGCCATTGATCATGAGTTGACTTTTCATATTTCACTCATACTACCGACAGTATTTTTACAACCTTTCACAGTTGCAGTCACTCTTGTGTCGAGAGACAACCTGTCACCTGACTGCATTCACTGTGGGAAGTGTTTGCACCCCATATGAGTGTTTTATTACACTTGATCCAAGTGCGTAAACACTTGGCTGAAGTGTCTGTCACACCCATCTGAAGTGATGCACTATTTTCAAAACACTCATTTACGGTGTTTAATGCACTGATCAGCCCAAAATTGGTGCAAGAATCACCGTCAAAACACTTGTATATAGTGTCTGTCACACCCATCTGAAGTGATGCACTATTTTCAAAACACTCATTTACAGTGTTTCATGCACTGATCAGCCCGAAATTGCACCATAGAATCACCGTCAAAACACTTGTATATAGTGCTGTCCTAGTTGCTCGTTACCACCTGCAAAATTTGGCACATAACCGTAAAACCATATATTTACAGCGTCACTATGGCTAATACATCTCTACCTACTTGATTATAGCCGTGTGGTGAGATTTCACTCACATGTTGAACCGTGAGCAATAGCGACCACCCACAAAGTCACTGAGAGAGAGCGTCCAGTACACGCATTGATGCGCCAAGAAGACGCACTCGTTCTGGGATAGAGGGGGGTGATGTGCGGCATCACAGAAGTGATTGATGTCAGCAGAGGGGGTTTGCCTGGTGTGAAAGGGAGCTTCGTTAACTTGCTACCGAACACGGGAATTGTGTTTACGAACCAGAGGTAAGTCGATCTCGAGCCATGTTTTAAGTGTCGTGAGCGCAGGAGAGCTTGTCGAGAACGTGGTCATTCAGCCATAGGAGACCAAGGCCATTGCGCGCACCGAAGTCAAACCAAGTGTGAAACCGGAAACGAAGAGGTATGTCAGTTTGTTGTTCAAAGTGCATGAGCGACGTGAACATACCGATTTACACTCTCAAAGTCCAGCCATGTCTCCACCACTCACGTTATGCATAAGGTGTGGAAGAACAGAATTTTAATTGAAGGACAGGTGATCTGGTCGTCTACGAAGAACCAGAGTAAAATGACAGAAAAGAAAGGAGTGAGAAGAACGTTCGAAAGGTTTGCACAAAAAGCACAAGAGGTACGTCGAGCGAGGAAATAAGATGAAGACAAAGGGAAGGACGAAAACGGAAGCGCCGGTGAAAGTGTGGGAAGGCCTTAAAACGGAGGGAGAAAGGTAGATGCTAAATGAGGAACTTAGCGGTGAGCGCGTCCAGGAACGCGCCGTTGAAGGTTGCTTCGACGAATCGTAAAGATACTTCGTGCACGTAAAGCGGAAAGCTTGAAAATAACTTGAGAAAACGACGTAAAACTCTTAAAATCTTATGAGAATGCCAATGGTCGACTGAGGCTCAGACTGAAAGGTGAGGGGGAGAAGACAGCTCCATTCGAGAGGTGGGAGGGCACCTTTATACTGTACAAAAATATCGAAATCACAAGGCTACGCACGTACTCTCATGCAGCCTGACCAAAACTTTGGGGAAAAGGTAAAAATAGAAAGAAGTCATTAAGTTCTGTACAGAAAAGCGAAAGAAGAATTAAAATTAAAAATGACATCACTCACGCATTCCCTCAGCACAATCCTCGGACTAGGAATAACTCGGGGAACGTACAACGTCGGGAGAGGTCTATTTGCGTGCGCGACTGCCGCCCTCAGTGCGGATGTCCCGAACGTTGATGCTCTACCCTACCGTCTAGTCTTCAGAACGAGCGTCGGTTCAACGGACTTTGTCAAAAATACAAGCACTAAAAGAATAATAAATACAAAGACAAAAAAAATGAAAGCGTACTGATCAAGTCCTAGCCCTTCAAAAGGAAAGCGTTGAACGCGAAGGTGGGTCGATGCGTCACGTGGCTCATACGTCTAATGTCCAACCTAGACTAAACTCGACGTTTAAGATTTTTAGTAAAGGACTCGTCTCAAAAACATAAATAACAAAAAAGTAAAAATATGCGAAGTGCGCCATGAATGGAACAAGGTGCACTTCCACAATAGGGAGAAAATTTAAAATGATGCCCTCATCATTTCGAAAGAGGAAAAAAGAAAAAAAAAGAAAAGAATCATGAGAAACTTAGCGGAGCGGAATAGTTTCGAGTGCCCATGCTTGAAGATCGGCGACGTTTGATGAGTCAATATAGCGAAGAGAAGTTGCCTCGGAATGCGATTGATATTGAACTTCCGATATGTACGTGTTTTTCGTGGGCTGAAGGTCCGCGATCGTTGGAAGAGCACGACAATGGATGTGTGAGTCATCAACGTTATGAACAATAAGGGAAGGGGTGAAAGAAAGGGATAGATTGCTTGGGAAGAACACTTTGCCAAATTTGACGGAAACAGGATAAGGTGGGGTCGTAAGGTTAGACTGGTTAAGTGTCCCAGTCAACGTAGACGCGTGAACAGAAGTTGAGGAAGTTGCGGTGATGTGAAGAGAGTATTCCGACTGATTAACCGTTCGAACCGTTTGATGCTCTTCACGATAATAAAAGATCTTTAAACGATTAGCGGCAACGGAACCTCGAATAACTGTCCCATCTAGCTCTCGTAACTGATACGTGGTATCGTGAAGCTTCCGGTGAACAATGTATGGGCCAGTCCATCTTAATGCGCCCTTGTTTCCCATCTGAGAATCCAACCACGTCTCGTGTAACAACACCCAAGTTCCCAAAATGAAATCGCCAGAGGTAAGATATTTTTCATGCTTACTATTGAAATCGTCAACAGCCCGTTGACGCGTACGCTTTTGCTCCTCCATAGCCAAGACGAGTTTCTTGTCGCGTCGAAGGATTTGCTGCATTCGAAGCGCCAGCAGGTCCTCGGTTGAGGCGACCTTGTGCCAGTCAAGCATCTCCCAGGTTCTATCTGAAAAGTCAAAAGCAAAGAAGGGACGTTGACCATAGAGAAGAAAGTAGGGGGTATACCCGGTGACTCTAGAAGTCGAACAACGCATCGCCCAAAGTCCCGCGTGTACGTATAAAGGCCATCGATATGTTTCTTTACCACAGGCTCGCATTATTGAGTTGGTGAGGGTTTGATGGGAGCGCTCGGCGTGTCCGTTTCCTTCTGGGTGGTAGGGAGTAGAGGTCACGACGACGATCCCGTATTGCTTGAAAAGGATTTCAACGGCTCCTCTAAATTCTTTCCCGCCGTCGACCAGGCATAGAAGTACGCAACCGAATCGAGAATAGACTTCCTCATACAAGAACTTGGCCCAGTTTTCCGAAGAGGCCTTGGCAACTGAACGCGCTTCGACCCAGGACATGGCAGGGTCAGTGGCTTGCAAAAGATACTTATGACCGTTGAGGCCGTCAGGCATGTGAATGGTATCGAGGTCAAATCTTCGTAAGATTCCGGTGCTCCAGGTAGGACTAAAGGCGACGATAGGGCGTGACTTTGACCGTAACTGACAAATATTGCATGAGCGGACGAAGTAAGCGACTTGGTCATATAAATTCGGCCAGTAGTATCGTTCGGAGAGGGTCTTGTAGGTCGCATCACGACCTCGATGTCCTACATTGTTATGTGCCTCTGCTATTAAGGCTGAACGCCGGTCAACGTCCACAATCACAAGTCGGGGAAGCTTCCCTTTGTGTTCGTATTTCCAAAGCCTACCCTTGTCGTGCAAAAAGAAATTCTTTGTCTGCCGAATAAAAGACTTTCTTTCAGTAGAGTCTTCACAACGCGCCGGCATGATGTCGTCCTTTAGGTACAAGATAATTTCAGC